CAATATAACTAGAGTACATTTCTCTACTTTATTTGTTAAAACCATAAACAGGTTATTCCCACACAGAAACAAATGAAAGAACATATATCGCAGGGAGCATCTATCAATACACAGGGTCAGGTTAAAAAGTTATGGATGCTGGAGCATGTTAAGCAAAGAGTGAGGTGAAGGTTATGAGAGCCTATTTTAATAATGAAGGATGGAAAGCAATGCAACGGTGGATATTCACAGAACTGGATTGTGAAAAACATTGAGCAGATGCACTTGCTCAAAACCAGGGACGGTAACTGTGTCCCTAGATTCACAGCTTCTATTAATATTTGGCCTTTGACTTTTAAGAAAACAGAAACTAAAAAACTGGCTCTGGATTGTGATCTTTCTTTAAAAATGTACTACTTTTTTACTATGCCTATATTTTTTACCATTCAGTGTCACTTCATTGTTTAGAGCTTGAAAAAAAACTTGTTCCTAGTATTAATTGATGATTTCAACGCTGCTGACTGACGGATCAGCTACTTTATGTTTGTCTTTGTTTTATTAGAATATATTGCTGGTTTTTGTATTTGCTATATCGAGGTGTTGTGTTATGTTTTCCTCTGCAGTTGCAGAGAAAAGCAGCAGAGGTGAAAGTCTAAAACTGGAGGCATCAAATATTTTCTCTGATTATATTACAGCAATGTAACCAACAAGCTAAAAATACAGCAGGTTAAGTACACACCCACCATGCGTTGCAGTGTGGCACAGTACAGGAAGTTAAATTGACTTAGTTAAGTTTTCCTCTGCAGGTATTTTGACAGATCTGGGGAGCATGTGACAGTGATCGGCTGCTGACCTGTGAGCTCCAGCGGGCTGCACAGTGAGCTCTCAGCCGGGGCCAGCAGAGGCAGACAGTGTTTGGACTCGGAGTCCTCCAGACCCTGCACCAGAGGGATGGACGCGTTCTGGACAAACTGCACCAGCAGCTGAGAGGAGACACACTCAGGATCAGCGGCTGCACGTTCAACGTAATCTGTCACATCAGATGTCTCTTGGTGAAAAGCTTACCTCTGGTTTGGAGTCAAGCTCATCAGAAAGCATTGGTCACCCTGTGTGCAACCTGTGACACAAGAGGATACACCCTCACACGTTGAATGCCACCAAATATGCTCAGACTGAAACTGAAGGAAAAACACAGCTTACCTCGAGATGTGACCTGAGTGGAAGATTGTCGTGTCGCTCAGACGCTCAGGCTGCAGGTCATCTCCGAGTCAACACCATCACACGAGCTCTGTGAACACCAGGAGGAAGCGTCACACTCAGCAGACTGCTAGTCAATGCGAGTCAACCACCACTAACTAGCTGGTCAAACAGCGCAGCTACATGTTGCTAAAGCTGCGCAGCTCGGCGCTGGTCTCTGTGGAAAACGTCAGACTGTCTTGTCAACTTAGCTAGCACAGTTAGCAGTTACCACAACTAGCTGCCGGGGCTAACAGGACAGATGTTTTGGTGTCCGGCGGCAAAGCCTGTCCGCCGACTGTGCAACACACGTTATTATAAGTCCACTACAACTACAAAACAAATATATTTACCTTATAACAGAGGCGCAGCTGAGCTACTGTGTCGGAGGAGCTAGCTTAATGATTGTCTCAAAACAGAGTGGCAGCTTTGTTCTACGGAGACTGCGCTGGAACAGTTTTAGGGCACTTCCGCGTTTTGCTCAAAAAAGCAGGTCGAAGCATCGGCGCCACCCAGTGGTCAAAGGTGTAAACTACACTTAACGATCAAGAGAAATTCACACGACAACTCAGAAGTTTTTGATTTTTTTGGATGAATTCTGTAAACATTTGATTAAATAGTAGATTTAAAATGTTATTTAAAAACTATTCATTTTTATTTATGTCCCTTAATTTAATATTTTAAATTCAAGATTCAACTTTATTGCGGTTTCCTTTATTCCTAATAAATACAACAGCTTCAATATTTTGAAGTGTTAAGTCATTTAGAAGTGAGAAGGCTGGTTTACTGCATGGATGGATTATGGAATGTGCCTATACCAAGGCCCACATTTGATAGAGTCAATGAAACAACTAAATAAATAAAGAAACCAAAGAAAAAAACATTTGGACACACAAAACAATCACAAATGTTTGTGTAATTTGTGACTCTTTAAATCTGTGGAGCTTGCCTCATTATGTAGGAGGGGTTGAGGTCCCCTGACATGTCTATGGACAGGGGCCCATTGTCTGCATTACAGCTCCATACAGTAACACTTTTAGAACACTGATAAGCACAAAGAAGTGGAGAGGGAGGGACGGTCATGAGGTCAAGGGGCCGAAAACCAGAGGCCCTTCATAAAGTGACTGTAATAAACACTGGAAAAATAAAAGCACAGTCAATAGAAGGGGGAGGTGGGTTCTTGGGAACCTGAGACAAACCACTGGGGAATATTTCTTCAGAGATCTTCATCTGTGGTCAATTATTTATCAAGCTATATGCTGTATTAAGGTCAGATACACTACACAGATCAAATAGTCCAATTTAAGATAAGATAGGATAATATAGTCCTTTATTGGCACTGATATCATTGGGTATATTATTGCATGTATGCAAGGTAAAATGTCTACATGTGTTACAAATGTTATTATTATATTAAATATTCATTATCAATAATAATTAGTAATCAAGATTGCACCATATGTATTACAGTTTAGGGGTATTTAGAAGATATGCAGATTCAGTTCTATCTAAAAAATAATTAAACTTTTAAATAAAATTTAACTGCAGAGTAAAGGATGCATTCTCTATTCACACTGAAATATAAATTGTATGAAAAGTCCAAACATTGTTCAGTTTACACATTGTGCTGGAAGAGCAGATATCTGGTCATTTCCTTGTTCTTTCTCACTGTGATGAGAGAAGTGTGTGGAAAACCCCTTGAATAAATTTGTCAGTCATCCTCTTTCTCATCTGTATCCAACAAAAAACGTCATGCTCTTCCTCCCCATGTAAACTTAAAGTATCTGAACTCAAGTCGGACAATGAAGAAATGGTACCGTTAATAAAAACAGTGAAGAAGTTTCTTTGGAAAGACACTTATTAAACAAGCAATGAGTCCGTAAATTAAAATGTACAATGTAGTTTATTGCAGAAGTGTCATTATTACAAGTCTTGTGTCTTCAGAGGTTTTAGACTGAAAGACTTGAAACAGATGTTTTCCAAGTCCCGTGAGAACTTTAGCAACGTTCTGCATTTACGCTTTTAGAATAGACAAAAAAAGTTTCCCAGCAAGCCGCACTACATTCAGTCTGCAATGTTTAATTCCATTAGAAGAATCCAGCACGGTTTCCTAACACAGTTCCTTTGGTGAACAACATAGAAATAGGTCGAGCTAATATTTTCCATGGTTGCTTCTGCTCTACTGAAACATTGTGATAAAATTGTCAGAATCCTTTTCAAACACAAATCCAGTGTTACAAGATTACACGCAAAACTAGTCTTTACTCCTCTTTTACAAACTTGATATCAAGACAGAAAATAACTTGATTATCAACAACCGCGATAACAGTCCATGACACAGCATGTATTGTATATAATGGCAGCATCAGAGACAATTATGGTTTGATGCATTTAAGTCAACAAATAGTCAATCACACTGGCATGATCCAAGAAAGAGAAACCACTCAAGTGTTGATCCATGTAAACAAAGTCTAACTTGACAGATCACACTGACATGATTACAACTACTACTGATAAATAAATGTGCTCCGGTGATGAACGCTGATGGCAGCAGCAGATGAGAGAAGCTCTTAAAAAAGATGAGCGTGATCAGCATTGTTACGCTATTTTCAGCCAAAACCTCACTGAGCTTTTGAATGATATAGTACCATCATTTTTTCCATTGGCACCGAACCAGGGTCATAACAGCAAGATTTAATTTTAGCAGAAGGCCGACACATCGTTTGCAAGATTTAAAGACTCTACAGCGAAGCGTTTAACAGAGTATAATATCAGCCCTAAGAATAACGCATCTGATTGAGGAGGAATTGATCTGCGTGAGGTAAAACTTCCTTTGGAAGTTTAGGTCAATGTGTGCTTTGTGTTATTGGTCCGAGAAATAAAGAAAATAAACTTTACAATTCTCAAGAAAATATAAAAAATAGTGCCAGCAGTCCTGGCTCGTGTGTCTCAATAAGGCCGGCATGAAGGACGTCTAATACAGTGGCAGAGCTAAACCAGATGAAAAGTAAAAAGGTTGTGTTGCTTTTTCCTCAAGTGTCAAAGTAAACGTCAACAATGTCCCTATGACAAGGCCTCAACATCTTGTTTTTTATTACTGAGCTACTGGAAACATCTAGATCTGCACAAACAGCCACTCAGCAGCTTCTCACTCAGAATGGTTCATTTCAGAACAGAGAATTGGGAGAGAATGAATTTCACTAGGGGCCTGAAGATCCTAATAACCCAGACTACTCTGTATCTCAAGAACAAAATATTTGGAGCAGTGGCCTAAAGCTCAGGAGAAAATAAAAACTGTTGCATTCTAGTTGGTTCTGTCGGATGAAATCCTGGAATCACAAAAAACGTGGATGTAAACGATAAGAAAGATTGTGAACTGAGTAACGACTATGAAAAGGAGAAGAAAAAACTTCTGCATGAAACTCCACCATAAACTAAAAGCTCCAGTTAAGTTTCCCATTCACAGGAAAACATTAGTGGTTAATCATCTGGCTGCAGTAATGTGAGAAGATATTGTGTCATTCAACCTGAGAAGAAAAAATACATCTGGGGCGGTTTTGTCAACAGTGGAGCTGGTGCAGTGTGGAAAATAATGTAAGATGACCTCAAACATCTTCAATGAAACCTCAAACTATCAGAGAGACGCCTGGATGTTAAACACAGAGCGAGTTTCCAGCAGGACAGTGACCCCGAAAACTGAATCTGGTCTGGGAGCATCTGAAAACCAAAAAATACTGATTAATTTAGTGTTGACTGTGGAAAAAGAAGAACACCTTATCCGCCTTGATCCGTCTGGTCGATGATTTAATCAGAAAAACAACTGAATAAAACATTGCTGCTGTGTCATTCGGTTAACAAAATAAAAGGCTATAATTGCATGTGCGTTTAGTTCCTACAAAAACAGAACAAACTAAAAAACAATTATTAAATTATAAAGAGGTTGTTTCTGAGATATTGTGTGTGTGACACCTCATAACATTAAGTCACAGAACACACGACAACAAATGTACTGATGTTCAGATGGACATGGGTTAAAATGGCGGAAGTTGAATAGAACGTTCCCTTGTGACTTATTTTAAATCAACATAAGCACAACAAGCATATTATCGACACAAATATTTCATAGTTTAATAAACAGATATTTGATAAACAATGTTTAATATTGAGAAAAACTGCTAGTAATAGTAAAATCTCATCGTATAATCTAATGTATGACAGTACTATAGGAGCAGTATGTACTTACTGGTAATGTGCTGATGATAACTCACAATGCACTTGCAAATAATTATTTTCCATAGCTGCCATTTAATTCTGCCCAGAAAAAGCTTCAGAGCTTCTCCTCCATCATTTTAGTGCAAATGCAAAGGTCTGTGACAGACACAGGATTTGGATGATAAGGCCATAATTTAGAAACGTACAAATATGCAATAATAAACACAACTGTTCCTGATTTAGATAATGTAACTGTTGGACTTTTTGTTGAATAAAAGGCCTGAAGTTTATGCACGACAACTGGTCTCACAATTATTTCATACATGTCACATTAAATTACACCAATGCGTATATACATATATATGTTTAAAAAAACCAAAAACAGGAATATTTACACAAGTCAATGGTTGAGCTACAGGAAGATAACAAGATGTCATCAGGGAAGCATTTAAAAGGCTGTGAGGAGCTTTACTCAGAGCCAGTTTGCCTTGTATCACAGCTGCCATCAACATGATGGGAGTGCTGAATTTGAAACTGTCGACCGGGCGGGCTAAATCTTTCACATCAAGTTTTTAAAACACAACAGGAACTGAAAGACACGTTAGGCACATGTTAGACGTGCTGACTGGCAGAATGCCTGAACACATTCATCCCTTAGGCCTGTGGTAATCAGAGATTGTGCATGATTAGTAACTGCGGCACCAAGTTATCTTGTATTATGTGTAACATAGCATGAAGAAAAGCATGGATGCAGAACTGTTAATCAGAAACATCAAACTAATTCATTTTGTTGTCAGATTGACTTGTCATGGTGTTTTAATCAATCTCATTTTCAGATTCTGAGCCTCTGTTGTGCTTTTGATATATAAAAAAAGTTAACTTGTTCTTCCCTTCATACCTTAGATCCAATCCTATTGTTCTGGGTCCTGATTGCCAATGAGCAAGATATTTCTGTGCAGCAGTTTCAGTGTCGGAGTTGTTAATCAGGCTCGGCGTGTCAGAGCAGTGTGCTGTGGTTCTTTCCTTTGTTCCCTGACACATTTAGTCGACAGTTGGTAACAAAGTTTTATGCGAGTGATTGACCATCACTGAGTTTTAAGCTATCGAAAGAGCCTCAGCAAATGAGTTGATAGAGACTGACCAAGCAAATCGTTTGCAAATGATTTACCTGAATCTTTTCTCTTTCTACAAGCACAAATACATTTGACTGAAACCATCAGGTTCAGCAAAGAAACATTTTAAAAGAGACATAGTATCATTTGCAAAGATATTGTTGAGTTTGATGGGAACTTTTATCAGAAGCTGTGAGGCCACAAAAAGTCTTCATCTGCACCACCCTTGGGCAGGCGACAATCACAATGTAGGCCACAGCACACTGTCTGTGTGAGAGAATCTGGGGTGGATATATATATTGTGGAGCACATTACTTCCGGTCCATCTGTCTCTGCACGCTGTGACGCCCCCCCCAACCCTGGCCTTCCCTCCCCCATCCCAGTCTAAAAGTTCACTGTCTTGCACTAGCCTAGGTTTAATCTGCCTTTAAGCTGGTCTGAGCAGCTCTCTCCCCCTCTTGCGCTCGGTCCTCCTCCTGAAGGTTGGCCTGCAGCTTTATACAAATGCTTGTGTCGCCGCTCCACAGGGCCTGAAAGAAGAGGTCTGTGTGTTCTTTCAGCCGGTCTAGGTCGTTCTGGGTGCGTCGATTCTGCCTGAGGAGCTCCTTGGTACGAAGAGTAATGTCGAGCAGGCCAGATTTGCTCAGAATGTTGTAGGTGTTGCAGAAGCGCTTCCTCCTTGAATCAGTATCATTGTCACTTAGGTCACTTTCTCCCAGGATAATGTTCTCCTGAGCATCCATCCGTGGAAAAGAGAGGGTCTGGTGTTTGGAATCAGTGGTCTGAGTGATCGAAAGGGAGGTGGTAACATCTGATTGGCTAAAAGCTGAGGAAGGCCTCTCACTGGCAGGACTACTGCTGGCGCTGGATTCTGATGTGGGGAAAGTAAGTCGGTTCTGGGGACAGGAAGAGATGGTGCTGCGGGAACCAGGAAGACTGGTAATGATGGAGCCAGAGCTATTAACACTACCACACACACTTTTTGGATGTTTGTCTCTTTGACTGTGTTCACGGTGCTTGGAGGTCAGACTGTTACCTCTATTTGACCCCGTAGAGGAGGAAGAGGAATAAGAAGAAGAAGAAGAAGAAGAAGAGTAGGACGAGGAGGAGGAGGAGGAGGGAGGTGAAGACAAGGACGCAGATCCTCTCCCTGAGGAAGAGGAGCTGTCTCCGGGATGTGGAGCAATCTTGGGGTAGGACTTCAGGATTGGAAGATACTTCTTAGGGCGTTTGTGTCTGGAGGTTGTCTCTTTAGAGGCAGGAGAAGCTTGACGAGAGACCACAGGCTGGAGGAACACTACCTGAGGCTGCTGGACCACGGGCTGAACCACCTCCACCGCGGGACTAAAACCCCAAGGCTTTAGAGCAGGAGGGTTGTCTCCAGGCTGCAAAGGCAACACAGTCAAAATTGAGAGCTTTGAAGACACCCATCACATTCCTGTTGTGTGTGAACCCAGCAATTATAAACTTGAACTTTATCCATTAGCAAGAATTCCAATCATTTCCTGTCAATAAACTCAGTAAAGGCTCCAGAACCCAATCTAACATAGACACAGTTTCATTTAGATCACAATTAAAACTACAAACTACATTACATACCAAGTCAAATTTTTGCTTTCATCTCTTTGTGTTGGCACTGAATTCACTTTTGCAAACCAGTATCAGTATGCTTTTCTGATTTTATTACTGTCATAAAATCTGAATGTGTTGGTGTGCTAGTCGTCTTGAGTCTATTTTAAATGTCTTTTTTGGTAACACATTCCTGGCAGCTGTGGGTGGATTGTGTAGCCACACATTCAAGTTAAACACAGTAACCAAAACTTCCCTGCTGGGAACTGATTATAGGAACAACCAGATGGTAAAAGATTGAGGGTTGAAACTCTGAGCAGAAACAGAACTCCACACATAACATTAAAGTTTCAGGATTTATCTTTATAGAATTAATGTTTTGTACCTGTTTCAGGAGGACATTGTTCATGATGATCATGCGAGAGAGGTTGGAGTAGGAGCCTCCTACCACAGCCACCCGGGAGCCAGGCGTCTTTGGTCCCTGCTGCACAACGGGGCGGGGTGAATCCTCAGAGTCTGTGGTGTCCATTGTGCTCATATACTCTGAGCTTGCATCTATAGGCAAGGAAGTAGATTAACTGAGGTTAATTTGAGTGACACCTAAAGTTAAAGTACATAGCAATGCGGCAAGAGAAAATTCACACCTGAGAATCCAGAGTCCCTCTCCGAATCAGCGTGGGGGCCTCCAGACTTCATGATGCGCGGTCTGCTCGCTAACCTCGAGTGACTCTCTATCTTCCTCTTGGTGCTCATCTCCTCTGTTGTTGTTGTTGTTGTTCCCACGATGTCCTTGGCTCGAAAAACTCTCACAAAAACCACATCAGCAGATCAAAGGCTAAATTTGGGAATAAAAGAAGATTAATGAGACTCTTGTTTCATCCCAGTTACAAAACATGGGGCTGTGTACTGATACACATACAAACACTTAGGGTGTTGACTGACTTACTCAGTTAGAGCTGGGAAGCACATATATACCATAATGTCAACTTTATCTATATAGCACATTTAAAAACCACTTGGTTGACCAAAGTGTTTTACAAAGTAAAAGTACAACCAGAAAACAGCAATACATAATACATCAAAAATACTAATGATATCAAATAAATTCTCCTGGATTCTCCAAAGAGAAGAGATGTGTCTTTAACAATGATTTATGCGAGAGAGGGGCAGATCTAATATGGAGTGGTAGGCTGTGCCACAAATTTGGGGCTGCTACTGCAAAGGCTCGATCACATTTGGCTATGATCCTAGTTTTAGCAAATCCAGGAGCAGCTGGGTGGCTGACCTCAGGTCTCTAGCTGGAGTGGGAACATTTAGGAGTTCAGCTAGGTATGGCGGTGCCAATCCAGTAGGAGACTTAAAAATGAATAACAACATATTTGAAAATCCATCCTGTAACTTTTTCTTTCCTGTCAGGAGGCGAGCAGCAGCATTTTGGACGAGCTGCAGGCGTTGAATGGATGACCGGTCAAACCCACATACAGAATTACAGTAGACAGGCCTTTACCGCCACAATTAAATATCATCTAGTTACATATTTGATGTAATTTTAACACAAAGACCAGATATTAACGCTTCGCTGGTTTTGGACCATTATTATTTTGTTGGCATCCGAAAAACTATTTCACATAAATCAAAGACATTAAAATGTTTCTTTGAGCATATTACTGAGTACCTACAGGATGGCCTAAGGATTTTAGTTGACATGCTCAGTTAGGGCAGGGCAGCATGTGTGCAGCATGTGTACATCATGATATCACAGTTTATAGTGGATATTTTAATCCTGAGACAGAAAACAGTTGGGTAGAGTTGGAAATGTGGTCACAGATTGGACCTTCCCGATAACAATAAGTCATAAGTGAAACATTGTTCTGACAAAAACAACCGCTCTTTCCCACTGTAGTGAGGTAGACAACGGGCTACAAGCCTATTTTCATCAAGACGAGCCGAGCTGGACACATATCACTGGTCTCAAATCACAGAAACTATGTAAAAGCCTACTTTTCCAAACCAAGTATTGCAGTGTGACATGGTTGTGGTGAGACTACACAGTAAAAGAGTGAAGTTAATGAATAATTTCCCAAAATTATGCAAAAGACTCCTTAACGTTGTTGCACTTTGTAGAAGGCCCCACAGTCTGTTCTTCCAGCTGTACATAGAGATCAATGTTATTTGTCCAGCTCGTCTTCATGAAAACAGGATTGCAGCCCGTTGTCCACCTCTCTACAGTGGGAGAGCGTTGTTGTTTGTGTTCTAACAACATCTCGCTTATGACTTACTGATCCTGGAAGTTCCAATCTGGGAATTTATGTTTCCAACTTTACGGAACTACAGAAGACACACGCCACCCCCTGGTGTGACAACACCACAGACTGTGCGCTTCATTCACGTGTTTCTGACTTTACAAGACAGTTCCGGTTAAATGAAGCAGACAAGTGAAGCATGCTAATATCAACTAGCTGAATATTTACCCTCGTTTTTAAACAAACGCTGCACTCCTCTGGTACATCGTGGTATTTTGATCCCGACAACAAAAGCTGGAGCCAACCCGGATATTGACGCTTTGAACTGTACACTGTACTTTCCGCTCTGTGCTTAACAATAATGACACATAGAATAAACATGCCGTGGTGGCTACACTGTGACCTAGCTAGGTATAAATAAAAAGACTGCAAACAACATGGACGTATAGTTAGTATGATCCAGTAAGGTTAGCAGCGTTTGAATGCAAGCTAACGTCTCACAGAGGAAACAAACCAGCAGGACACAGATCATACACATGAAAGAAAACACCTACATGGAAATGAGCGCTGCTCCAACGACGCTGTCCTCAATCACCGAGGAGATGTTAGCTTGTAGCCAGGGACGAGGTGCAGCCTGCGTCCCGTCAACGTGTGTTCTCCAGAAGCTGGAACTCTGTGTTCCACGGTACTATACACGAGACACGCGGCCCCTCCCCTGTCTGCGAGGTCAAGTGCGGGCGCACGGGGACTTCTGTCGGCGATGGCTGCAGTTCGATCGTCCTCCAAAGGCGTCGAAACGTTCACAAAGCTACTGAGCACCTCCGGGGACCCGCTGACTTCACCTCCAGCTCCCGTGCGGCGATAGAAGCGATGTTCTGGGGCAGCGTGTTCCTTCACAGCCGCCCTGCCGTATTTGGAAGTCAGGGGCGTGGCTTAGTCTGGAGTAGCGCGTACGTCACGCATTTGGGCCGCTCCGCCCGCCCACCCGCTGGGTACCGCGGCCGGTGATTGGCCGGCGAGGGCAGCAGCTGAAAAACGTGAGGCTGCCTGGATGTGTGGCAGTTTGAGGACATCGTGTTCACCGAGCGGGGAGTGTGTGTTGTACTGTACGATACACACACCACCGACACACAGCACCGACACTCAGGGAATCCTGTGACGACAGGGTTCGAGCGTAATGTTCCGTGTTGCATAACAGACTCGTCGGCCCCGCGGCTAACCTGCGCTGAGGAGGCAGCAAACAATAACAGGACAGAGCGCTCACGTGCAGGTATGCAGACTGTGGTGAGCAGGAGGTGGAAAGTGAATACATGCCCAGAGAGAGAAGGGACAGTGATCACATGCTGGATATAAATGCACCATGACTGCTGACTTTGCACGATTATAAAGGTGCAGTGTGGGAGATTTAGGTGAAAGGATCTATTGGCAGAAATGGAATATAAATTGTGCAATTGTTGTTTTCTTTAGAATGAGCCCTTTTTTAACATACTTAGAGGGTCCTCTCTACAGACTGTACAAACTAAACACCTTTTGAGTTTTTATGACAAGTGAAGGCAACAGGTTCTCTCATGTTTGGAAGGGGAAGGTGAGGTGAGGGGTGTTCAGCTGCAACATGCAACTTCGCCACTAGATTTCATTAAATTCTACACAGTGAACCTTTAACGTCAATAATAAAGTTGTGAGGTGAAAGGGATCATTCACCAAAAAGATTTAAATTCACTCTGTCTACTCACCGCTATGCCGATGGAGGGGTGGGTGAAGTGTTTGAGTCCACAAAACATATTTGGAGTTTCAGGTGTAAACAGCGTTGCAGCCACATCCAGTACAATTGAAGTAAATGGTGATCACTTGTTCAAAATGTAAATTATTTAAGCCTGATCATTTCAAAATACCATATTTTAAGGGTTTTCTCTTGAGTCTCACCTCGTCTCTATCATCTCACGAGGCTGTGATTGCAATACCAATCAATGGATAACAGTGACTCCTTGTGCTCTGTTGACAATGTGCTTACTACACAGCCCTTCCAGATAAAGCCACCTCACACTCACTGTGGCGTCACACACAGACCCCAACAATCCATAAACGCAAATGTTGATAACACAGAAACTCTTTATGTGTTTGGATTGTGTTCCATTTTCTCAATCTTATCACGATCCCTGTTAAAACAAGAGTGGATTCATTGTTCATCAAAACACTTCTGCAAAAATAGGACGCTACATATACACGGACTCATATATGACTTGTGACAGAAAAGAATAGCTTTACGTCAAATATAACTACATGAGTCATTGCAGAAGAGGAGGGTCTGACACATTGATGTGACAGCTAATCAGTGATCTCTTGAGGTGGATGGAGACCTTCATCCTTCTGCCTAGTGAATAGTAAGCTTGAAGCATTACACCCATTATCTCTGCAGATTATGTGTCTGTCACCCTTTTTTTATTTTTAAAACTTCACAAAAAAGCAGCCACATTTTTGAAATCAAAAATTGACATTGATTTGTGTAAGTGACATGTAAAAACAGCAGTCAGAACCAAACGAGTGCAAATAGACTGTAATTACTCATAAAGTAGAAAACAAAGTTATGATGTAAAAACAGATTTATTTCATAGATGTGCTGCAGATCGCCATGTCAAAGTCCGTCCTCCGAATAAAACTGTTGTGAATCAGTTGTTCTGAGGAAACTGGCACCTGGAAAGTCAAAAAAAAACCAGAGCAATTGATTCATTTAATATAACAACATTTTCATGAGCTACAGTTTCCTGTAGCTTTTTCATTGCTTCTAAGGGTTGTGGCCATTCAACGAGAAACAAGAACATGACAAATGTACAAACCTGACTCTGAGAACAAACTGGAAATTGATTATTAATGATCACATTTTCATTATTTGTTCTTAGTTAGATATTAAGAGGCAATCTTGTTCAAATATTTGATAACACATGTAGCAAATATAGAAATATACCTCAGTCATTTCCCCCCAGTCTGGATTCAGTAGTTCTCTACAGGTAATATTACAAACTTTTCCAACATGCATCCAATTGAAGAGACCCAAAAAAAAGCACCAAAAAAAAAAAAAGAAAGCAGTCTCAGCAGAACAATGTGATGTTTTTGACACATTACAGAAAAGACCAACAGGGCTCAGGATCAGGGGTCTGTGGGGGTCAGGGGTCACTCCAGGATAGAATATGTGTGGGAAGTGGTTTTCTCAGTGAAAAAAACATAATGTCCTCCTGAAAACCCAAAGTAAAAGCTTGAATATTCATTCTAAAGTTGTTACAAGAGGAACTCTGTTGTAGTTAAATGGTCTGTGTCTGCTGTCTGCCACTATCAACAGTGAAATGTAGACATCAACACCACAAGACCACCATCACAACAACTTCTAAAGAGCCTGCATGTGCATCAGGTTTCATGAAGGAAGTTAAACTCCACTTTAGTTTTAGTTTAGTACTCCTCTCATTGAATTTGGTCTTTTTGAATCTGCTGGGAGAAATAAAAAACGGTGTGGTCCTTTGACTGCTAAACACACGGTGGAGGGGTAATGAGATAATAAGCATGTAGCATAAACTATGGGTTAGGAACAGGAGTCAAGGCGAGGCACGGTGCGGCTGTTTAACCAGACAGCTTCCAGAACTACACGGCCACACAGGATCTCCACTGATAACAGACGTGCAACAGACTTTAACCTAAAACAACCCTTACCCAGAATGACTCCACAGCAGGGCACAGTGAAACCTGATCGCCACCGCTCCAAACAGTTGACCTAGTTGTTGCCAGATAGATCGCATCTACTTCAAATAACCCATTGTTCCTCGTTCCCCAAGGAGGAAAAGATTATGTGCTTCAATGACTGAGTTGATAATAGGGATCCTGAATGAATGGTTAAAGGATAGGCCCATATTTTTTTCAAACCTGTCTCAAAACATTACTTACATGCTCACATGCATTGGAATACTATTTAATTACACAGTGCCTGTTAATAGGTATTTTCATGATGTGGTTACAAAGTTATGGGAAACAAAATCTGTGCAAAATGGCATTGTGTATCCAGAGACCGTGTTTTTGTGCTGAGTTGCGGTGAAGAGATAAAAACACAATGGAGAGATTTCTTAATAATAGGGCTAACCTATTATTACAGTAAGTTACAATTATTATGTTATATAAAAAGCTTTGATCGTATAATGTCTATATGACTAACTTTATAATTTTTTTTCTGAACTCAGATTGTTCGTGAATTCGATGTTATTTTCTTCTTATTATTTTATTGTTGTAGAGCACTTTGTTACTTGTAATGAAAAGTGCTATTTAAAGAACGCAATTATTATTAGTGTTTTCTTACTGTGGCATTGAAATGCTTTTTTTTTGTCCCACATGTCCCTCATCACTTGGACTGGAATTGCATCAGCGTATGTCCACACTAAGCCAATTATTTTTGCAAACATATCTTTTTCTTTCTGTTTCACCCCTTTGTCCAGATAAAAATTGTTTTTCTAACCATAAAATTGATTTTTTCCAAAAGTGTGATAATCTTAAAAATGTCAGCTCTGTGTTTCCACACAGGGGAAATGAAGAAAGGTCTTTTTGCAGCCATTGTGGACAGGAGGGATGATGACATTGACCAAAAGCAGTTTCAACATCCATATGGGAATATGAATAATGATGTAAGATAGAGTTGAGAAAAGTCAACCAACATGTGGGAAACTGCTTCAATACAGAATGATAAGAATTGAGGTGGAGACATGTCGGAGGTGGAGACATGTCGTCCATCTTTATACACAGTCTAGGATTTTTACCGCCCACACCGAAACCCTTCAACTCCCACACCTCAAGTATGTAACACAGGTTTTCTGTTATAAACATCTATAGGGTTATTTTCTGAGTTTATACACAGCTTCCCTTAAAACCTGAGGAGACATTCAAAAAGTGTTTTCACAGACTAAGTAGTACTTACTTTCTCACTGACAAGTAAACTGAGTTTCATGTGTGGACTTATCAGTATTTACTTTGGGCGTCTCGTCTTTGAAGTATATCTTCGCTGTACAATAATTCAATATTGGTTCCGTAACAATTTTAGAGAGAAAGAAAGGAAAGAGATTATTCCAGAGAGATTACCTCTGACACGTGCTGCTTTTGACCTTTTCCAAATACCAAACTCACGGCACATATAACTCCTTGTTGTGTCTGCAGAGTGAAGATGGAACGGAACAGTTTGAGCTAAAAGTACAGAAAGTTCTTGCTTTAAGGTCGATCTGTAGATATGTAGCTGCAGTTAGAGTTTGGTCAGATTGAATTTGAAGGCCAGAGCTGAGCGCTGCTGTTGTTGAAGTCCCACTCCAGTGAATAAGATTCACGTTGAATAGTTTTAATGTAAATTTGATTAAATATACACAGTGTTTGCATGTCTGTGCATGACTTATCTACCTGATACAGTCAAGACAACACATTTATGAGATTCTTTTTTCTGATTATGTGAATCTGTTTATTTTAGGATGGAACTTTTACACATTCCGTCCTTGGTGTGAGCTCTCAGCAGCCTTGGATTGCTGTGCTACAAACACTCAAATGTTACCGTAAATGTCCAAACATTATGAAACTGTGTATGCGAGTCCCACAGGGGGGCAATCCATCTCTTACTTGCCGCAGCTGGTCCCTGTCTTCTTGAGTTTCCTCCTCCGAGGTTTAATCCTGCCGGTGTCATCGCTGCTGCTGTGGAGAAAGAGCCGATTGCAATGAGGACAATCATGTTTTCAAGACTGATAAATAAAATGTTCCTATACTGACCTTTTATATTTTAGAAGTGTCTGACGGGCTCTAAAAACAAGGAAAAAACAGAAAAAACAACTGAGTCATACAGATCTCAAATGGCATGTGATGTTTTTTGAATAATTGGGAGACTGGGGACAGTTACAACAGATAAACAAGTTAGAGTGATGTCACTCAAACTGGGTACACTCAGGTGGATCTTCCCCACCAGGGACACAGCTGGCAGTTTATTGAGAAAGCATGAAAGTCATCTTTTCACGAGTTATATTTTGTCGTACATACCTGACCTTTGATAACTATGAATCAAAGCTAACTCAGTTTAAAACAATGTTTGCCTGACTTCTGACACTCAATATCTGATATCCAATAAGTACTAATGAATAAATAAATAACATGATAATATAATTTTAGCCATAACCAATTTTATATTTTCAATTTACGGTTCTTATTGAGACCAAAAACTCAAGTGAAACAGTGAAATTTGTCTCTAATATGTTTAATAAACCAGATGTGTGCTGCAGCTGTTCAAAGGGTTGGGGTCAGTTGAAACATTTGTTTTCTTCAAGTCAAATAAATACTGTGGATAATATGTCATATATATAATCATTTTCACTAGCAGACAGATGTAAGTTGAATGTAAAAAGTGTTGCAGCCGTCCCCACTCTCCTCCGATCGCTCATTTACCTGCAGTCACATTTCTGATGCTCCACAAAGGTCAGTTCCACGTGGTCACTGGATATCTTCGGAGCAATTCTTATCATCTGAGGAACATAGGAAAGGAAAAACTGAAACTAAACAGGAAGATCTCCCTTTAGGCATTTGTGTTTCGAGATCTTTCTCCACCTGTACAGTGATGTTACGTTCGTGGGTGGGGTGACACTCCAGGTTCTCGTCCCCACAGCAACCAGAGCATCGCCATAGTGACACACAAGCAGGCATGTAGATGTATCCAACGCCTTCAGGGAACTCCTGCTCCACATCCACCAGCTGCTCCATAGGGTGACACATGCTCTTCGCCAGCACCTCCTGGAACATCATCCCTAGAGGGCAAGATGAGAATAGCTTTTAAATCATCTGCATCAGGTAGGGAAAGTCTGTTCAAAACATTTACCTCTGGGGGCCTTATCGTCTGGTGGAGGTGGAATCTGCAAAAATACATGGAAAAATAAAATTATTTAAAATCTGAAAAAATACTTTAAATATTTCTTTTCTTTCAAATTGGCGAAATACATAACATTTTAATTTCTATCCACAAATATATATATAGAAAAATAAATACAAATACATTTAAAATTTGCAAAAATACAGAGAAAAATAAGATGAAAATTGTTTTAAATCTGCAAAATGACACAGAAGAAAAAATCTTTCGAATCTGCTAAATACATAAAAAAATAGACACAATTTAACCTGAAGGAAACTGACACAGTGAGTGGTTACAACAACAGTGGCAGAGTGCCATCTTGTGGTAGAGATAAGACACTGCACACACATCACATGATCCAGGGGTGCTGTGGTGCAGCATGGTGTGAGGGTTGTTTGCAATTCAGCACAAAAAAAGGCAGTAAAATGAGACAGGCAACCACAAAAAGCACATTTGTTTCTCAACACTGGAAGGGTCAGAATTACAAGAAGAAAATAGAACCTTCAAAGAATGCAAAGAATAACAGCAAACAATAGCCGCTGTCTCGTCTCGTGGGAGTTTTACACACAATAAACACAGTTTAACACAAAGGCAGCACTGAAGTTAGTCGTAACTCAGCTTGAACTTTGTAATGTTCTCACAACCCAGCCTCTAAACTCACAATGGCAGCGTTTTTTTTAAACAACAAATTAAGCAGAAACTGTTGTGGATCTTGGCTCTTTCTCTCTTTTTTTCTTCTATCTCTTTCGGACTCCCCAACTCTCTCCTGTTTTCCTCTCAGCCTAGAAACTGTGGTGGAAACGTTGTTTTCTAATGCCTAGGTTGGAAAACAAGTTTTTATTCTGGGATTCTTTGTGAATTCCACTATAATTCATGAGCATGGAACAGGCAGACACACATCGACAATATGGTGGGATGGTCAAATGCCTTTATTTTGGACATTACAAGCTCCACACTGATTACTGGTTTGCTCAAGTGAACAAATGTGTCTTTGTCCATTTGTTCCTCCAATATTGTAACTTACATGAAAATTCAAGACTTAGTATTCTATATAAACAGGTTTAAATATGGGATAGTCATGTTTATTTCCATGTAGCTCTACTGTATATCTGCCAAACACAACACAAGCCCAGAGTCCTTCAATGTGCTGCATCATCCAGCAAAAGAAGCAGATGGATAACAGCAGCTGCAATGAGCTTAAGCACAGGCTGACATGTGTGAACAATTCAGTGTGATGGGGAAATGCCTTAAAGTTGGACACGATAAACTCCGTAACAATAATATAACTCTGTCTAAATTGGATTATTGGTTTGATGAAGTGGACAAATAAACAAAAAACTATTGTCTCCCCTTTCTTTTGTCTTTTGCTCGTCTAATGATGTGACTTACGTGAAGCTTCCAAATTAGTTTTCTCTGGTAAAATTCTTATGTTAAATGAATTTCACTGTACTTCTGCCAAATACAGCACAAACTCATAGACCTTAGAAGTGCTGGAGACATGTGTGAACAATAACATTAACGTGTCTAAGACTGATTATTGGTTTGATAAAAATGAATGTGGAAAATTCTTGTCTCTTCTCTCATTGTTCTTTTGTTCCTCTGATGTTTTAACGTACACGAAGCTTCCAAAGGGAATGTAAGATATGAGATATACATTTTTCTTCCCTTAGGTTTCCTTTGTCATTCTCTTCTAAAGGTCGGATGCATTTTTATCACATATGTCTATGTGATCATCTTGGAAATCTTTTGTGTGTGAAATGTATAACTTTCATTAGACAGTGGCTGCAGGGGCTTGACAGGTTGTGACACAAGCTGGACTCAAACCAGGATCTGAGTTCAGTGTGTGCTGATATTTGAGCTGTCACGCTCAGTTATTCCCAGTCTTCTCTGTTAAGCACAAGTACAGATTTCCACACATGATCTGTTGCTGTGACTCAAATCTCCATAAACACCATGTGGATCTATAAGAGGCGTTCTGGACTGCACCATGCATGAGAAACATCTCACGTTCTTCTACACCATATTAGAACCACCTCTACAGTTTCTAGCCAGCTCACGACAACCCTCCACACACCACAATGCATGTTCTCTGAGCAGTCGGCTCCCTGCTGAGTGATACGGCCTGAGGAAGCACCTGTGCATGAACCAGAGAACCAGATGTGGAGTTTTATACGCTCCTCACATCTGAGGTAACACGACCTGGAGCCACACAGTCTCCAAACCACAATTGCTCATGTGAGGGAGAAACTCTTCAGCAGGGCCCATAAAGCAGTTCACCACAAAAGTCATCTGATTCAAAACTCAAGCCGGTCCTAGAAGTGGACTGACTAAAAAACTTCACCAATAACTCCACCTGCTGTGAAAGGTAACATGAAGTGTGCAGGTCTCTGTTATTTGCTTACAGACATGCAACATGCTTTAGTTTAAGTGAACAACATGATGTTTGAGGTTAGGAGGCTGAACACTGCAGTCAGTTTACTTTTACATTTCTGGACCAGTCACGTGCAGCTGTTGCATCTGGTTACACATGACTGGAAACATGCAGATTGTCAAACCACTGAATTTAGATGGAATGTATAGGGTGGAACTCAGCCAATCAGAGACAGAGACTGTGCGTAAAAACGCACAGAGCCCTGATGTGACTCCTCTTAGTTTCTTCACGTGAAGCAGAGAAGTTAAGAGGAGTCACATTTGGAGAAAATAATAGACAACTCTTTATTTTAAAAAAAGACACACGTGATTCTTTCTTTAACGTCTCTCATTTGATTTCTAATTCAATTCCAAAACAATAGGCGTAAACATTGAATGGCTAATTTGTTTCCTCAAACACAATACATGTCATTTGCGACATTAGAAATAAGGGGCAGGCTATGTGCTGGTGTTTGTCTGGATTACCTGAGCAGGCACCGTCAGCTGAACCAGGAGAACCAGGACAAGATGCGAGACTCCGGTGAAAATAAACTGCATCATCCTGGCTGGATGGAGAAGTGACCTCCTGTCGTGTCCGGTCAGAAAGAAGTGAAAGAGTGGGGGAAAAAGAGGAGAGAGAGAGAGGGAGAGAGAGAGAGAGAGAGAGAGAGAGAGTGTTTGGATTTGCGCGCCCCTCTGCTGTGCGCAAGAGCCGAGCTGAGATGAGCTGTCACGCAAACACTTATTTCTATCTGCGTGATAATCAATAACCGATATAGATCAATGCTTTGTCATATATTAAATGTTTCACTCTGGCTGTTCTGATGAAGCTCAACCATGCTGTGGTTTCATGTCTAAACGATTTGATGACATTGTGGTGAACAGTTTACCACTTCATTTCCACACAATAACAACATCTATCAATCTGATGTATCTTTTGTTTAAATTTACACTGGAAGCCTAAAAGCCAAATTCTATTATTGACCATTCATTAAGAAACATGACAGCGAACATCAAGTCTGTCTTTTGTCTGCCTTACACAGAGACATGAACAAAAACAATGGATCCTTGAAAGTAAAAGTGGATTTGATGCCTGCTGTGGTGGACTGAACAGTTTTGAGTCAGTAAATGTAATTTAGCTCAGGATGGACATGAAGTCAACAGAAATGATACAAGCTGCCATATTCTGTTTGTCTGTCACACAAAGTTAGACATACTTATATCCAGAAATAATAATCAATAATCAATCAATAACCATATAATAGTCGATACTATCAATATATTCTGGGGATACACGCTGGTATGGTCTGGTAAGTGTTGCTGTTCTTTAGTCCTGATGATGATACAGAAACTCTAACTGGTGGTGTCCGACCTCCCTGGATCTGTGCCGTCACACAGCTGCTCTGGTTTCTCTCTGGATGTGGTTCCTACTTCTCTGGTGTTTATGCACAACTCTGCTCCTGGAGCTCTGCCTGCTTAGGTTTGGCATCAAAGCAGCAGCAGACCTGAGGTTTTCTGATGCTGTTAGAAGAAGAGGAAAGTCTCAGTGGAGTTTTGTCGTGTTTATGCACAATCACACGCTCACTGCTGATGATTGTATCATCACTGTATATCTGGTGTGAGAGCTGCAAACGCGTCTTGATTGTTGTAGCTGTTACACAATGGCTGGCTTGTTGTGGTGCGCAGATGCTTTTGATTTACTTTCATTTAACGTTGATTCTTGATTATGTTCACTTTCTAGATTGACCTACAGCTGCATCCACACTACAATTCTCCTCCTCTGATGCAACACAAACCAGGGTGCCCTTCCATTTATTAGGATCAGATGTATTTTCACAGCCAGTGTTATTTACGGGATAATTGGGCCGTTGTGTATCTGATGAACAACCTCTATACGGAGGAGAAAGATGGATGATGACTTACATCTCAACAGATTATCCTATTGCTCTTTTCAGGCATCGATGAAGGACGAATTTGGGCTCATGTGGGAAAAATCTGCATCCTGCAATGATCCTGATGTTACAAGTGCAATACAAGACACAACTAAGACAAACAGAGAGATGGGGGGGAACGTAACACCTTTGCACACGTAAATCTACCAGTCTCCATTTAATCTAATGCAAGATCAAAGATTCATACAAGTTCATACAATTGTGTAAATCTTCCTCCAACAGCATATGATCTCTGACAGATTTGGGTGTGTGAGCTTTTTCTTTCCTGTTGGCAAACGCTCCTCACAGACTGTGACTCACCCAATTCCAGGGGAGTCCCCTTCCTGCTCCGGGTCCCAGTCTGACAGCCAGAGGTCAGACGGACAGCTGCAGATGTCTTGGTCTGGGAACCACACCGCTGCTTCAGTCCCAGTCCCCACTGAGGGAGGATGGGGTCTCCCTCAGCTGGAGCGGAGGCAGCAGGTGGGGCTCTGCAGCTTTACATCCTAAGATAGAGGCGAGGCCATGGCTGTCTTTAATTATATGATGAAGAAACAGTCTGAATAAGTCTTTGATAACGCAAACAAAATGTCCCTGTATCCAAAGGAAGGAGGCCCTCACTCTATAAAGTCAATATCAGTGTTAATGCGAGTAAACAGAAAGCTAATTTTCCTTTCTAAACTCTGGAGTTGAAAGAGACTCCATAGAAGGAAATAAAAGAGAGGGAAACAAGGTTGTTCTTTCTACCACATTAAACTGACAACAGTTCATCGCAAAATATGATTAAAAAAATGATGACCATCTGACTGGAGAGATAAGACAAGCACATGTACACCTACTATCTGTGTTTGTTCTCCATTCCTTTTATGTCTATTTTCCAGCCTGTGATCACGATCCAACTGTTTCCTTTTTCCCAGACTGTTGTTTGCCAGCGTTGTGCTGCAGATGCATTATGGGTAGTATTGCTACTGGTTCCCAAGCCCACAGTAGCCGGGTTGAGCGATGGATGTGACCCAAAGGGCCAAACAGATGCAACTCCATTCTGAGATGGACACACACCCGCGCACACAGAGCACACAATGTCTGGGCTGAAAAAAGAAAAGAACAGTCTACATTGTGATAAAAACAAACTTGTTATTTAGTTTGGTTAACCTAACCTGTAGCTGTGAAGAGGGAATAGCTAATTTTACTGGATATAGTGAGTCACTGGATGTGCATTCATTTGTTGTTGTTGTTGTATTTACAGTCAAAACGATGCTGGGAACCTCCGAACACAAACCACTGACGTTGTTCTGTCTGTTTCTTTATGAAATGGTTTTGGATCAAAATCAGTGAAATGCATGTTTGATTAAATTCTGAATATTTATTCGTTGCAACAGCTGTATTTGAGGGTAAACAGAGCAACATGACATTGTTTGAAAGATGTTTTACAGTTTGTTCACAACAATGATCAACATGAACACAAGTGCTTTAATTATTTATCTGGGTTAAACCAGTTTCTCTGGACCGACAGCACCCGGAGCCCCTTGTTTGCTCTGATGCATCTGCTGGAGCAGGAAAATGTACACTTTCAATGTACCTTCCTTTAACTGTCTTTGTGAGAGTGGTGCAGGGCCTCTACTGTGTTTAAATGACTTTACACTGCCAAGTTCAAATAAATAAATCAAACAGGTTTTATCTTCAGAGTGAGATTTCCGCATTTGACCATGACACTGGAATGTTTTTCAAGTGTTTAGCAACAACTTCAAACATGGAAACTGGTTGTAGGGTTTTAAAACATTTCTGTTGTATTATGTTTTTCAACAAAAACCAGAACAAACTTCAGTGAGATTAAGAGTAAATACATACATCTTCACTGGCTTGTTCAAACAGACTTCAACAGAACACATGATACTTCTTGTAATCGCCTAAACCCCATTGGGTTCTGTCAAAAACCTGCTCGCCTGACCATCAACCAGTCCACAATCTCTGCACACAAAAACTTAGGTGTGACTACTGGACATTACAAACATTTAGAGCTGTTTGTGTATTTAACAAACTGACAAGATATTTGTTGGGATGTTACATTTAAAGATCTATCAGGCAGAGGGAGAGTACATTTGTACAGTTATTTTGCAGCATGTTCTACTTCTCTGTTGAGAAGGCTCTCTTCATTAGTGGAGGAGGGGTCTTTCCTGCTTCATACAGAGACTCAGGTGGAGGGGAGCTCAGGCAGCACCAGTCTGGGATGCGACCTGTTTGGTTGTAGTAGTCCCGTGACACCGACCTGCTCCCCAGGACGTCCTGAAGGGCCCCGAAGATCGCACCTGTTGAGCAGAGAACGATAAGAGACGGATTTACAAATGATTCAAAAGACGTCACAAACAATATTTTCACAAAATCTTCTGAAATTATGTTTGTGTGTTCAAGCTGAAGCAAATATTTTCTCTGACTGAAAGTCTTCACTTTATTAGGTAGTAATAAATCAATACAATAAAAAATAGAAGGTTACACAAGAGAGTGCATACCACCGCCAAGGAGAGTCCCCTTATAAAGCCAAGGAAAATTAAATTGCTCATAATCATAAATATCAGTCCCCTAATCATGCCAAGTCTTTCAAATCAAGATCCAACAATTATTCTCTGAGAAATCAATGAAAGACGCCATCTCACAATGTTAAAGAAAATAAATTCCTGGATCTGTTCCCTGATGCTGATCTGCACCAAAGTCTAATGGCTTCTTCCCTGACCCATAACACATTCTTCCACCAAGTCACGTAGTAACCTCTTAAAGGTTCAGTGTGTCAGATTTAGATGAAAGGGAGTTTTGGGAGAAATTGAATATAAAATAATCCTCGGGATATTTTCACTGGTGCGTTTAAATTGTATGAACTGTTTTCTTTCCCATAGAATTCTTTCCCTTTATATTTAAAAATTATAATTACATGGAGGGGGGGTCCTCTCTGTGGAGGCTGCCATATTTTTTTACAGTCGTCAAAACTGGACAAACTAAAACCTTTTAAGTTTTCATGACAACTGAAGTTCACCACAGGTTCTCTTTCATGTTTGGAAGAGGAGGGTGAGAAAAGGAATATCCACATGCAGCTTCACTTCTAGATGTCAGTAAATTCTACACACTGAACCTTTAAGGAGTGTGATCCTGCTAACTAACAGAGAGACAAACAAACGCAGATGAAAACATAACCTCTTTGGCAGGGGCAGAAATAAAATCTCATATCTGACCTCCGAGCCAGGCGGTGCAGTTGGGCTTAGCAGGCGGGGCGTGTATTCGGAAGCTCTTGCTGGCCAGCACGTTGCAGTACTTGGGTTTTTCCACCAGAAGGCGTATTTCTGCCAGCAGACGGTGCAGGAAGCCCGGCAGCATGGCCGTGCCTCCGATCACCACCAGGTTCTCAGAGAGCACTTTACGGGTGTCGATGGGGCACTAAAGAAAACACACACACACATTTACCGAATAAAATCACCTGCAAGAATCACTTCACATTTTAACGGGGAATTGCAATGAAGAATCTGTCTTCTCCATCTAGATCCCTTGTGTGTAGGTGAAAAGAGAAGATGGATTATTTATTTTATTCATTCATTTTACACCTTAATACATATCAGTAAAGAAAACCGTTTAGACAATCACCAACCACTTTACTCTGCCATATCAGTGGTGTAGGAGAAAAACACTTTCTGGTTATCAGGACAGGTGCAGACTAAAACGTAATTTGATGGATGAGAGTTGCTGTGGATAACGTTACTGCAGTGCTGCCCTCTGTGTGTAGAGCTCGACTGAAACCTCAGGGGAGCTGCGGTGCCGTGTTTCTGTACATCCCGAGCAGAGTAGTGCACATACTGCTGTTTCAGACTGTGAGATGTCGGCTGCGGCTGTACGGTAAGAGATTAATTAGGCTGCTGTCCTGGTCTGACTTTATCCCCACACGAAGAAAAAAAAAAAAGGCTCCCGGATTCAAGGGATGGCCACAGCCGGGTGTCGCCATAGCAACGGCACTAAGTGAAATTGTATGCTCAACTCCACTGGTTTATAATATTAAGAGAAAGACTGTAATCAACTAAAATTGTGTTTGTCGAATCAGATTTGGCTGTTCCATACGAAAACTACTGTAAACTGAGGAGTCACGGATGATAAAAATCTCAAACTTTCAGGGTAAAGCTCTGATAGAGAGAAAAACAGGGTCCCTGCTTTTCTCCTGACAAAGACACTGTGGGCCATTTCTTACACCATGCGCAAAATAGTTGCAGACCAGTGGAGTTGTTTTTTTCCCACATGGTGCAAACATTGATGGAATAGCGAATGCATTAGCGCCCATCTGTGTGACCAAGGGCCTGCTGGTCTTACAGTGAGCTGTGGTCAGGCCCAACAAAACCCTGTTCTGAAATCAATGGTGCAGTATTTCACTGTTATTTTAAAACTGCAGATACTAAAGGGAATGAGAGATGGCCCTATGATTGGTGCACATTATGCCAAATGAGACTCAGTGCAACAGTTCTGAATCATGTCCCTGTTCTCTGTTAAACTAGTGAACATGAATTTAGACATGTACTAATTGCATTTGTACCATGTGGTAAAGAACTAGTTTGTTTTGTTTAAAGGGAGATATTAAGATATTCATTTAAACTGATATCATGTAAAAAGGGAATTTAAATAATGCAAAACCTAAATGAAATAAGGCAGCAACCACAGCAAAATGGATGGTGAAACAGGCCATGTTAGAACATACAATATTGCTACAACATGCAGGCACCAAGACAGGTGAAGCGTCTTATTCAAAAGGTGTTACGGTTTGTTCATGTAAGAAAGTAGGATTCCTATGTGGACAGATTTATTATCAAGTCTAATTGAAGCTGGAACTGTAAAATTTAAATTGTTCTTAAGGTTAAAGTAGTTGAGAGGACAAGGACAAATACAAAATCCTACTCTCCTGCATATCAATTACATACAGAATGAATCATTTTCTATACCTTGACCAGAGCGTCAAGTATCAATGAGGCCACACTCTTCTCCTCGTTGTCCTGTTCAAACAAGATCTCCATCACAGAGTCCCTAAAAAGAGAAGAGTTCACGAGACACAAGGAGATGTTCAGCAAAGACTCACATAAAATCATTTAACTGAAGGGACATAAACCTAAAATGAAATTAAAACAAATCCAAACATAGCCCACACTAAAATATATTAATAAGATGAAATGTAAATTTGTTGAGGTTTAACTATAGTTTTTAGTTTAGTACAACATTTTTACAAGAACTGCTAGAGCAGATTTAAAGCACATATACTGATAAAGTACCTGATTGATCCTTTAATGTGCAGGATCTTCTCCCCATCCAGAGGATAATCAACATCTGGAGGAGGAGCTGGACGCTACAAACACATTCAACAGAAAGAATATTTTTTAGAAAATTATACAAATGAGTTTCTGAATACAAACATACTTTTACAGGTTGAAGCTAACTGAGGGATCCTGTTAAAAACATGTCATTCACCTCTGCTGTTCCATCCAGGTTAAATTTGGCTTGTTGGATATTGAGTCCTCTCTGCAAGTCACTGACGAAACATGTTCTCACTACAGGGAACAAAACAAAACCAGTGAGTAACGATAAGAAGCTAATTATGATTTAACACCTAATGACTATAGGCCATGTTAATGACTGACAATATATTAAAAGGTTGTAATGATACAAACTGGACATTATTCCTCAATCAAAGCTTAAATTACATCATGTGGGAAGTTGGCAGCAGAATCCACGTAAATTATGTATTTGATTCGCACAATGAAACACACCGAAATTAAAGAAATCAAAAAATGTATTTGAAATAAAAACAATCCGCTGGTCATTCTTCAAAAAACAGCGAAAAGAATTCAACCACAATTGTCTCTAGGGAATTTTCTTGCAGACAGACACTAAATGAGACTAAACATGAATCTATTCTTGTGAAACCATAAAGGGCTGGAGCCTGCCCCAGTTTCCTGAAAACAAATTAGTCTGTCTGCTTTTATTGAAGAGAACCAACATGAGTGATCTATGTGGTCAGTTTATTTCTTGACCTCATTTATAATAATCTAGCGGATGAATGGTGAAGCAGAACAGTCAGATTTTTTTGGTTGTCTTTATAAAAATGTGGATATTGTTGGCAATAAAAAAGAAGCGCGATCCCTCACAGGAGTAAAATGAGAGGTGCCCCTCCTACAGACAAAAAATCTGTCAGACCAACCTTTGATATCCTCCACAGTCTCCTCCTGGATGGTCCCTGGGGAAAATAAAGTAAAAGAGACTGTATCAGCGTTTGGAGAAGGTATAGCAAATAACCAATATCGAGTCAGATTGTTTGGTGTAAAACAAATCCAGGTCATAGAAACTATGATTCTCCTGGGGGGAAACCAACACTGTTGCGAAACAAGCTTTTTGGGGTTATTTTATTTTTATTGTCATTTGGACAACTTCAAAATCCTGCACGGTTTGATTTTGTGCAACATATTTCCAGATTTACGTTAATAACAGAGATCTCAGTCCATCTGAACTTATTTCAAAAAATGCAGTTCTTTCAACAGCGTCCAGTCCAGTGAGTCAACCTGCTGTCGGTTTTCATTACTGATGTACAGTATGTGTGAGTAGGTTCTCTCACTGGGCCGCAGCTGTGGATCTCACAGCTCAACCCTATGATTCAGTATCAACACAAAATGTGGAGAGAAAACTCTAAAGGAAGTAGCTGCAAGTATATAAACGTATATATAAGTCACATATCGTGAAAGGGATTTATTCCAATGTCACACAGACACAAGTTCCTCTTATTAATAGTCAATAATGAATAATGGGTCAATGCCATTATATTGTCTTGTCGTTCTGAGCAGTAAAACAAATGAGCAGAAGACAGCGACAGATGGTGTGTGGTGTTTTTCTCTATTTACCGATGATGGCTGGTACACTCTGCCCAGTGGTGGTGTCTGTGTCCACCGTGCACAGCTCCACGAGAAGGCCGTCTAATTCTCTACAATACAGACAACTGTGGTTATGACAGAAAAGAAGCACAAAAAGCTAACATTTTCAATTGTCACACACGAGAGCGACTGTTTGTTTTTTTAGCCAAGTGTGTAAAAAGAAAAACAGCGACATGCAAAGTCTGTTTTTCCTCTTCAATCACTTCCAGCTACTTACTTATGAATGGCTTTCCCTCCCAAAGGCAGAGCCTCCCAGGCTGGCAGAATGGGAGTGCACTCATACACCTGATCTCACAGTTAAGGTAAGACCCCAAAGTAAAGATTACAAAATGATATATTACATGTTGTTATGTGTGTAAAAAATCTGAATTAGTAAAAATAAAAAAGTAAAATATATGAATACATCAGCACTCTACCAATAGTCAGTTACAAACAGCTGAGAGAGAGAGAGATATTTATCATAACATATCAGAAAAATATTAATCTGATATCATTTGTATCATGTACCTACTGGTAAGTGTTATATTCTGTGTGGGGTATTTCTTTAAGTCAGTAATTCAGTGATTACAAGATAACAGGAAAAGGATACAGGCAGCACCAGTGTCTCTGTGTGGCCACAGTCCATCACCAGGCCAGAGTTGATACCCAAAGTCATGATGGCCATAAGGTGACTCGGGGCAAACAGCACAGAGGGCACCTGGAAAACACCATCAAACACAGAGCTAAACCATATTCACTACATACTGCAGTTCCCTATTATCATTAGGAACTTACTCAGTGTGTAGGATTCAGGAGGATCTATCAACAGGAATTGAGGACAATGTTTATAATTATATTTTCATTTGTGTATAATCACCAGAAACATTGTGTTTTCATTACCTGAGTGATGGCAGGTCCTCTTTTATAGTCTGCCATGAAACACCCCTTTTCTACAGTAGCCCAGGTAAGACAAACCAAACATTGACTCTATAGAGAACTGTTAATATTTTTACATTACCTCAAGGCCACCCTTGAGGTAATGTAAAAATCTCTCCTACACACTTTTAAAGGGAAGGTGAGGGGTGTCCAGATGGTTGCAATATACAACTTCACCACTAGATGCCATTAAATCTATCACACTGAACCTTCAAATTGAAAGAGTGTTGTAAAAACATTTGCGTGATTTGTCTGTTTCTGTCCTTTACAACTTTTAAACTCTGAAATGTAATGCTCATAATTTAAAAACAGTTTTATCCACTGCACTACAAGTGGATTCTCAATATATCTTAACATTAAAAAATATTGGGGGTTATTTTTCCATTTACAGTAAGAGTTTATTGAAAGATCTTAAAAGAAAAAAATACCCTGGATGAAAATAAGTTTGGCACATAAATAATACAGAATATATGCCATATTAACACCTCGTCCAAACAAGATCTGTATATTTCATGTGTTTGCTTGTTCTACCTCAAACTGTTTGAAGAAAACCTTGGTGAGAGTCTCTCTGAAGTGAGAAGGGCAGAGGATGGACTCGATGATGACGACTCTTCTGTCGCGAGGGTTCACCAGCAGGTGTCTAATTGAGACGGACAAGATGGCAAACATTGATTTTAATGAAAGTTGCATGTTCTGCATAATGTCACAAATGTTTGACCTTATTAGGTCCAAAACCTACAATAATGTACTAATTCATTATTGTATTAAAACACAGTATATGACTACACAGCATGTTTTATTTGTTTAGTTGCTGTGCATATATTAATAACTTTCTTACAATAGTTAGCAAATGCAGGAGTCTCACCTGAAATACAGTATGTGGATAAACTCTTTGAGTATGACATAAAGCTCTTCTGTGTTGATGTTGTACTGAACCACCTTGACAGCCTGAAAGAGAGAAAACCACACAACATATTAACATATCTGGCAGTTTCCTTCTAAATGATCACACTCAGTAAAGCACAGCTGTGTCTCACCTGTTGCTGTCCTGGTTTCCGGATCTCGCTCGGAATTATGAACCTGGGCCCCGTTTCCCCTGCAAAGCCACATCTGCAAAGAAAAACAGCTGTTAAATGAGCTGCTGACATGCAGAGGATACACTTTTATATCACTTTATATTATTATTTAGATTTATGAACTTTCCCTTAAATATACTATTTAGATTAAAGCTCCAACACATACTACAATATAAACATTTTGCTACTGAACAGCTCACAAACCAAACAATTATAAATATGATGCACACCAACATTGCATTACTTTACTTAGAGGAATGGAATGATTTTCATTGGAGTAATAAAGGCAAAAAATTCCGTCAGTACAGTTGTATAAATAAATATAAATAAAAACAGAGAGCAGCTCAGTGTCAAATGTGGGAAAGCAACTGCAGACAAAGACTTTTATTATTACATTATTTATAGAGAACTTTCCTCTTGATCTTCATGTGATCTGCCTCAGGCCACTTCCTCATCCATAGTCAAAACCACTTTGACAAAACTTGTATTCAAACATTTTAATATGGCACTGAAACTATATTAACCAAGGGGAGATAAAAAAAAAAAAATAAAAAATCTTTATAGCAGTTATGGTAAATGTCATGTGCTCAGTGCAAATACCCCAAAGGACTGCAGATCTGTGAGGTACGGTGACTAGTGAAGTCACTTACAGTCTCAGGCAATGATCAGATTAACAGGTGCTCAGATTAGACCATCTACTGCAGGTCACTTCACCACAAGTCATGGTGAGGGGGAGAATTTCTTCTCACAGTGGACGAATTGCAGTAATGTGGTCTCAAAGCTGAACCCCATTCAGAGCTGACCCACAGTTTGTCCAGTTACATGGAATGTTTTTCATTTTGCCAACAATATAAAACGCCTCTCATTACCTGTGACCTGATAAACATCAGCTGTAACAGAACCTATTGCCTGAGAATTGGTCGAATACGAACATGCAGGATGTTCAGAAACATTAGCAGCTCGTGATGCTCCTAACGTTGGGTACAGTTGTTTTTATGTTCTAGATTTTCTCTTAGCCCTACTTTGACAGCAGCTAACACTAGCTACAACCTGACATGTCCCAGTTAGCACTGGCTGTGTGGCTCACTAGCTAACCCCGCTAAAGCATTTACTGCAATTATAAACTATTAAGCATCGTGTGTTAATGAGCTTTATCGTATGTATTAGAGGTTACATGCCAAGACACGGGTGGTTGAGAAATGAAACACAGAGCTAGTTTAGCAATTTGTGCTAACCGCTAACAAGGCGTGCTAACGGCTGACACTCACTTTGTGTATGCTGCTCCTAAATCAATGACGATAGCAGTCTTCTCTCCTCCGCTGCCCAGCCCATCAAATAATGGCATTTTATTATTAGGTATAAAAATAACGTGAGCTGCAAATCAACGCCGACAGCCGCAAATCTGCATCCCAACAAAAATCTGTTGTCTTCCTGTTGGGTTGGGTTGGGTCTTCAGAAACGCAATGACGTCATGGATGAGCGCCTGATCAAAATACATATCCCAACAGCAAAAATATAAAACTTCTGATTTGATAAAAACAAATTATTTAAATAATCTTACTACCCCCAAAAAACTATACAATATTTCTGACAGTCAATGATATATTGTCAATAAAATGACAACTAGTGGGTAACCCACTTATTTTATCAGGTACATTTCATATACATTAAGTGATTTTTTAGTTATAAACATATATTCTGTGACACTTACAAATAATGAGAAATGTGTTTTTACAGTAAGTCTGATACATTAGTTTAGGATGTCATAAATATTGGGGACACATTTAGAAACATTTTATTTCCACCTAACACAGTGGTAATACCATGAATGCTGATGGTCTAACCTGGTGTAACCTCATTGTCCTGCCACATGGGGTCACTGGAACTTTTTCAGTCTACTCAAATCAAACCCCACTGCTGTTCAGCCATGCTGCCTGTGGAAGGCCCTTGTTGAATGTATTATACCTGTAAAGAGTTCAGTTTCTCTGATGCAAATACAAGCAACATCAACAAGCAACATCATCATATCATTGTCTGTACAATTACAGTATGTCAGACCATGACCATTCAATTCAACAATTTTTAGTGGGGTTTTTTTTGGGAGACAGTCTGAGAGTGGCATACACTTCAGATCATGTAGTAGTACATTTAAAACTAAAGACAAATACATATTATTAGTTGTGATTAATACTGATTGATTATTCATTTGTGCACTTTCAAGTTCACATGTTGACAGAAAGATCTCAGATACACTTACCTTGCACGTGCATGAATCACAATGTAAATATTACAAAAAGAATGTTTGCTTGTTTAGTTTCACAAATAGTAAACCATTATGCACCATGTATATTATGTAGACATGTAGCCACTTGAAATTGTAAACTTTTTCCAACAATTCATGCAGACATGCAAGTAAAGATAATATTTTATAATAATTCTAAGTCTAATGAAATATCAAAATTGTAACAAGTATGATTACAATTAAATCGATTTGGTATTATGATAATTTGAAAAAAAGGTTAACATAATATCTGCTTAAGTATCAGTCAAAGATATTTTCTAGGTGATTTATATATACTCATAAATTGCATGGTCTCCCTGCTCTTAAGTAACTTTCTGTTCAGTATGAGGAGCCTGAAGTGACCTTTTGGGGAACAACATTAAAGACAAAAATAAAGCAGATGAAAATGAGCTGCTGTTTATTAAATCGATGCAGTGAAGGGCACTGCTGATAAACCAGAGGGTGAAGTCGTCAGTTTGAGTAAATCCTGCAGATTTGAGCCATTTGGAGGCAGCGCTGGAGAAGAAGCAGGCGGACACAAAATACCGGAGAGAAGAACCCGGAGACTTCCAGTCAGTGACGCTGAGCTGCACAACAACCAGCCTCATCCTCCTCCTCATCCTCCAGCCTGCTCTCCTTATTCTCGTCCTCATCCTCCAGCCTGTTCTCCTCTCCTCTCCTCTCTCGGTGCATGTGAGGCTGATGTGCGTCCTGCAGGCTCAGCGATCCGACACCAAGTCTGGAAGGTAAAGGCATTTATTTTTTATTTTTAGCCATATGCGACTTCCATTGTTACCAAGTAAATCTTGCTCTCAGTGCATGGATATGATGGGATTTAGGCGGGTGCCGTAAGGCTGTGATTGACTCATGTGTTTGCGGTCAGATCGGATCAACACTGCAATATAAATGTGTTTACCATCCATATGCTATTAGCGCTTATGTAATTGGTTATTAGATTGCATGTGCTTGATTGGGTGTACGAACTGTGATGGTTGCATGGTGGTTTCGGGGATGCGCATGGAGTGAAGTGTATGACATTGTTGGACTGTGCATCATCACGGCTGCAACATGACTTCTCAGACGCTCGTAGGACTCGGGGTGTCACCCTGTCAACACCAGACGCGTTGTTCCTCCTCATTCTCACACAGCAGTGATCGATTATCAGGTGATTATCGGTGTTAGATCACGTGGAGAAACAAATGCGCCACACGGTGGAGTCAGTTTCCCCCCTAATCTGATTTAAGGTGCTATTTATAGTCAAGTATACATCCTGTATGCACATTGGTCTGTTGTGAGGGAGATGCAGATGTGTGCAATGTAAACACGTGTAACATCAATGGTTCCATCTGTGCAGCATCGCAGAGGATAGGCAGCCTGGTGCTATTCAAGTGTGATGATGTGCAGAGGATTGCTGTGTCAGATTCACACTCTTTTGTCACTCTCCCCCTCTCTCTCTCTATGTGTGTGTGTGTGTGTGTGTGTGTGCATGTCTTTTCTCTTTAAGCAATTTTAACACAAGAGTCTGAGATTAAAAGGAATTTCATCCAAAATTCTGATTCCAGTCCTTTAATCTGCAGCTGCACACATCTGTAATGTGCCATGTCACCTATCTTCCTCTCCGGGCACCCCCACCTCTGCTTTGTCTCCCTCTCTCTGTCCATGTGTCTGACAAAGCGTAGAAGTTGCACACGGGGACTGCTCACACCTCAGTTGAACCTTTTAGCATTTGTCTTGATTTTTGCATCCACTCTCTGCAGGTGCTGAGACAAGACAGAAATGCTGATGTCTGGGATGCTCCATCGCCTCCTCCTGGCCGGGATTTGCCTCTGTGTCTATGGAACGCCGGTCCACCTCCCCAGCTTCATCCCCACACAGGACAGCCACTGTGATGGGGAGTGTAAGTCAACAAGAACAGTCAGATCAACACACAGCACGGGTGTGGATGTAAAGTCTAAACCCTTAGACAGAGAGTATGTTAATGGCCTGGTACTGAATGTAGGTGCAGGAGGAGGGGCTGACCCGAATGGACAACCTCAGGGGATAGCACCGGTGAGGCAGACAGAAAACAGGGACAGTCTTGATGGAAAATCTGGGACGAGGAAGGCTGGTGGAGCGGCATGGAGCCAAAAGAGAAAGGTAAAGAAGGACGTGAGCTCATCTGAAATGGAAGACGGTGAGAGACAGGCAGCGTCAGTTCTGCCTGGGGAGTCAGAGAGCACCCAGGACAACATGTCTGTAATCGATGAGAAGACATCACCTTCAACAGGTGGGAAAAAGCAGCTGATAGAAGACATGAGTTCTTCAAGATTAAGTCCAGGTGGAAATCTGGCTTCCTCTACAGTGCCACCTCTGCTGGAGTCTTCATACAGCCAACAAAACAACCAAGGTGGGGTGGACGGAACAGGACTCCCTGACGGAGAAGACTCCCGCCAGGAAAAAGACCCCGAAACGAGCTCGCCCTCTTTTACAGAACCTCCATACCCTTCAACACAGGTCCAGAAACTGACCTCCCACAGTCCTATCCCTCCTTCGGTCCTTCTCTCCACACCTCTCACGGGTTGGGGCCATGATGGAGCCACGACATCCTCAATCCCAGACCCCTTGTTACCTGAGATCGGCCCAAACCTGATGCCCAGAGAGGATGGACCGGAAAGCCTGTGGACTGAGGCAGCGAGACCTGGCGGAGGTAAGTCATTAAAGTTAGAAATGTAATATTAAATAAAAGTGGGACATGGACATATGCATTGCGGTAGAACTTTCTCTAATCCCTTACTAGTGATTAATTCCACATGAGCTGCCACAGAGGGCCTTTAAAGCTGTGTCGCTAAGATGAATGCTCTGCAGTCAGTGTCACCCTGTAAGAATTCCCTCCACAACAAGCCGTTTTCCGGGCCTGTAGGGTTTTGCAGGGTTTCAGGAGGCTTCATTAAAAAAGTGCAGTGGAAATGAAAACGACATGTCTAGTGGCAGAGATTGCTTTTGATGACTGGTGAGGAAGGCCCCCGCTTTTCCACGCTCCACTTTGAACCCCAGCTGGGACCTGTGGCAGTCTAATTACTTTCTATTCCGGACTTCAGTCTGAAAAACAGAAAGAAAAGGACACACACAAGTGGCAGCAAACGTTGGTGGCAGTGTTATGCAAGTCCTCAGAGGATTCAGCCTCTCTCTCTCTCTCTATAAATATATATATATATATATACATATGTATATGCAGATATCACTCCTCCAAACCTTCTCTCTTTCCTTCCCACCCTTCATTCTCCCAGCAGCCCATTGTAAAGGAGCAGGAGTGTTTTTATTCAGTGAGGCAGGAGAGGGAAATGGATTAAAGGAGTCTGTCTGAGCCAATATGTGTTCCTGCCGTCCGTATGGGGATTGTGCGTTTGATGAATCTTCTTTCCAAAAAGAAGCTGCGAAAAAAAACTGAATTCCCAAACAGCATTATGTAAAAGGATTTCAGTCTTTAAAAGCAATTTTCAGCCGACTTAAGAAACGTCTCGGTTTGGAGGAAATGCCTGAAAGATATGCCGTACCACTTTCTCCTGTGACAGCCCCCTGTGTGGTGTAGCCTCTTATCAAAAGAGAACCATTTTCCAATCCTCCTTTCATTGTGTCTTAGCTGCACTGTGAACTCGGCTCTCAGGGTACAAGTGCCTTTAATGAGGAAACAGCATGTCTAAAGAGGTAGCTGTTTCAAAAAGCTGCATTCTGTCATAATTACTAATGGGGCTGAATATAGTAGCTGCTCTGCAATACATTTTTCATTCCAGCTGTCAGCACAGCACGGTGTACAGAAACTGCAAGACCCACAACTTGTCATTATTCATATGCCCTAGTTCGCTGAGTTCCATGTGAACCGGCTGCAGGATTTCACTGATGTTTACCAGAAGGTCTGAACAATCCTGCCCTTTCAAAATGAAATTGTCCTGCTGTATATCATGACCTTCATGCCTCTAATTGCAGCGGACACTGAAGTGCCACTGTCTCAGGATGAAGCCACAGAGGGCACCATGTCATCAGAGGCTCTCCCTCTCATCTTTGAGCCTTTTGAAGATGTTACACCAGAGGGGGCAGCGGCAGCATCAGTTGTCACACCAGTGCCTGGCAGCGCTCAGCCTCCCACTGCCATGGCGACCAGAGGAATGCCTTTGTCAGAGGTGGACCTGGACCAGCTGGTCACAGTGGAGGCAGACATCGACGGCCCCTCGCATGCCCCACCCCTGCTGATGCCAGACTGGACGTCAGCGTGGCAGACATCCGGCGCCGAGCTCCAGGAACCGATCGGCTCCTCGGTTCCGTCTGTTTCACAGCAGCTAGCTGCAAGTGAGCCAGAGGATGGATCTGAGAGAGGTGAGAGAGGGGATGTGGTTGATAAGAATGAACAAATGAATATCAAAGCCCAACATGATGTGCTATGAAGTCATGTTTCATATAGATCCAGTATACTCGAACATTACTCCAAAGCAAAATGTAGTAGAGGTCGGAGCTTCATAAAGTACTTTATGATAAAATACACATTTAATTTGACTTTTTAGTTTTGCACATACTCCATCCACTAACATGGATCGTAAGCCATCTACGATTGAGGTGCTTTGGCTTCACGTTTGGGGAGCTGTCATGTCTTCCATCTTTGGGTATATTTTATGATTTTAATATACTACATTGGCGTAAATTTTTTACAGAACTTTGACGTGAACTGGCAGCAGTGAAAAAAACACATGCTTTCATCCCAAAACATTTCTTAAACATGGTTTGCATATTAAAGATACACTGTGCACGATGTAGATGCATTTGTGAAGGCATGTCTGAATTGCTGAAATATAACAAATCAATTTCTACATTTGTCGAAAGTCTAATAGCACCCTGCACTTAGATTCAACCTTTTACACAGTGCGAAATGTTAAAATGTCTACAAGCATCCTCTATTATTGCTGTCTCTTTCTGTGATGTGGGACATGCAGTTGCTGTGAGGACGCCAAACCTTGAAGGGTATTTGCCCACCACTGGCCCCTCCCTTTCATCCTTCCAGCACGCCATGAAAACGGTTACCATGGCAGCCCAGCAGCCTGTGCACAAATCTAGATCAGGGTTAGAGGAGATGGAGTCTGAGGGTGAGAAGCCATTTAATATAAAAATTGCCATTTTAAAAAAATGTATTCTTATTTCCAGCCCCCAAATGTGACCCTTTGTTCTTGGCTGCTGAGTAGATGAATTTGTTCCTCCACAGAGGAGACAGATGAGCACGAGGAGGACGAGAACTCTGAGGAATCGGTGGAGAAAGAGAGCGACGAGGACCTGACAGATACACCAAAAACATTCGCAACGCAGCCTCCCTACGGCCTCATCCCTCCACCTCCTGTCTGGGTTCAACGCAACCAGGGGCTGAGTATGACAACATGATTTCTAAACCTTATCTTATAGAGCTGCTTGTTACTAACTACCAGACTACACATAACCAGAAATATGACCTGCAATTACCTGCAAAAGAGGAAAAATATTATTTGCGTATGTTATCATGCTATATCTGTGGCTTTTTTTCTCCCAGTGCGGAGCTGGGTAGAGCTGATCAGAGAAAAGGTAAGACTGCCCCCTGCTGTCCATGAAAAAACTTGCCCATTAAAAATGTTAGTTTCCCTCATTAAGACATTTAGAATAAAGGTGGCAATATTGTCTATTTCACTTCCTGCTAATTTATCACATCGTGGGTTAACAGTCTGAGGAAATTGAGGTTGTAAGGTATTGAGTGACAATCTAACATTATTTTCATTACATAATTACAGAATTATTTTAATCTTAACCAACAAAGGCATCATAAGTCTTCCTCCAGCAAATTGGTGACTAATTTGTATAAAGGAAATTCATTTCTCTATTTGGATTAGATTAGTTTATGTTTACGCCTTGCTCCATTTTGACCTGTGTTTTCAATGTCAACAGGCGGGCTATGTGTCCGGGATGTTGGCCCCTGTGGGCATCGGCATCACAGGGGCCCTGCTAATTGTCGGCGCCCTCTACAGCATCAGGATGATTCACCGCAAGAGGAGGAACAGCTTCAAACACCAGAGGAGGAAGGTCAGGCAGCCAGAGGTCAATACCCTACTTGAATTAAACACAAATATGTTTTTATGTTTCACCTGCCACTGATGGACATTTTGGTCACACTTACAACAAACTGCTCCTTTGTTAATGATTGTGTTTTTAAGATGCTTTCAATTTAGTGTTAAGTTTATTCTTCCTCCCCAGCAACCCAGAGAGCCCGGCACTAGTCGCCAGGACCAGGCCATGCTGCTGGCCGACAGCTCCGAAGATGAATTCTGATCGGACATTTTTTGGGGGGGGCTCCTTTTTGTCGGCGGCCACTCCCCGACACTCATGTAACGGAGGCTCGGCGAACATCACCATTGCTATGACTACCGCATCTCCCATCACCCCGGGCCGTTTGGCTATGACTCATCTGATCCACAGAGTGTGACTGAGTACAGGGCACAATTTGCACAGGCTGCACAATGGTCGGCTTTGTAAACCCCCCACCCGTCCTAAAAGTACCAATGTGAGCACTTTTTTGAATGTTGTCAGGTGACGTTGACTCTAATGGCTTGGCAGGGCTGGTGTGATGGACTTTGACTTAAAAAAAAAAATACTAATGCTGCTTGTGAACACAAAATGAATTTGCAGGGTATCGGTGGGATTAAAGTGTTGCTGGTGAAAGTGGCGCCAACCAGCAGGTTTTCTGTCAAGTAGTAAAAGGGCTGTAGAAGAGTGACATTACACACACAATGTAAATATATTGTCATGTCGGTGTAAATAAAGGTTCATTTTTAGTTACACATGCTAGCACTTTTGAAAAAAAAAAGAAGAGTTGGATGAGAGGACGGCTACAGCTAGCTTAATTTAGCATAAAGCTAGCTAGCCAGGCTCTGTCCAAATGGGCCTACAGCACGTCTACAGCTCACCAACACACGATAAGTCTTATTCATTTAATGTGAACAAAAAAATGAAGTGTAAAAATGAAATGAGACACTTTATGGAGATTATGTGACAACCACCTGGTAGAGGGGAGCCGTGACTTTCTGAGTTTGTCTGTGGTTCCATCGATGACTGCTAAACAAACAAGATCTAAAACAGTGTTCATGCAGAATCATTTTTCTTGATTTGTTTTGCCAATAAAACATACCACGTTAGCTGTTCTCCTGGTTTCCAGCAGTGATGCTAAGCTAAGCTAAAACAAGCGAAGTTAGTTGTCTCGCTTAATTTTTTTTATATGTTTTTTTTTTTTTTTTTGTGCAGTTGAGCCAGGATAGTTGTTTTCCCAATTTAGAGCTTTTATGCTAAGCTAAGCAATGCTAAGTGTGTCCTGGCTGCCAACATTAGTGTCATATATTTCTATACGACAGTGGTGTTAGTCTTATAATTTAACTCTGCAAGAAAAAAATAAGCGTGTTTCTGAGAATGAATAACTATTTCTTAGATTAGGATTTCCATAGATTTAAGAAATTCATCTGCATTAGCAAATTGTTTAAATGTGAACTTTGTGGAAATGTAAATGTTCATTCAGTCATTGGTTCATAAACTACTTTGACACACACACACACACACACACAGTACCATCATTCTAAAAGTATGTAGCAAAGAATAGATTTTTATGAATAATGAAACTCATTCTTTTGCAACGTGCGTTATCTTCTTTTCTCTCTGTGCACAATGTCCATTTCTGTTGTCTGGAAAAGCACAAACGTTGGAGACACTGAGGCCGAAGTTGACTTTTTTTAGTTAAACCAGTGAAGTTTGCACAAGTGTTTTCTTTTATAGGATGAAGACAAGAGCGGATAACTGAGACTTTGATTTAGTCACGTTGCTGCGATGGGATCTTTTCAGATTAAGTTTTGAATTCTTACTTTTTGGCCAAAATCTGAGGACGATTTGACTTTAGAAATAATGCAAAACATTTTTCAATAGCATCAGCATCAACAAAATTTCTTGTCTTTTGTTCAAAGAAAATATATTTTCTGTAACTCCATGAGCCATGTGCTATGCTTAATGTTAAACTGCCTGTTTATATGCAATAATACTGTTTTAAGATAAGTGTGATGTAAAACAGTGACATTTTTTGTCTCTGTAGATATGTAACATGATGTGATCAAATAAAACCAATGTTTTAGATGTCTGATTCAGAATCTGTCTTATAATGCATCTTGTAATCTCACAGGATCTAAACTGGGGGGAAAAAAGTGCAGACGAGATAACCCAGTTTACAGCATTTAAAAAAATCAAATAATTTATTTCTGTGTTCTTTTTCCACATTAAATAAAACCTATTGGACATTTCCAGATCAAAATCAAGAGAGGGGACAGGGAAGAAGGAACAGGGGGAAACAGAAATCTGACATGCAAAAAAAACTTTTGCTCTCCCCTTTGCACACTTGTTGGTGGATGGTGGTGTAGGCGTTGCTGGCCACCCTGAAAACACTGCAGGAAGACCCTGTGGTCGGTTGGTTGGTTGTGGGGACCATAGCGTTCTGTGGTGCAGGACTACTTCCTATACAACTGTTATTATCTGACTAATAACCTGGTTTCTGGGGCAATTTAATGTAATAAAAGGAGAATGGCAGACGTTGCCTTGGGTGAGGACAGAGGTGGGGTTAATACTATTGTTTGAATAAGCAACCTGGATAGAACAGCAGATTCCAGATGCAGTCTGGAATAGGGGGAAAAACCTCTGACATTTGTGAACACCTAACTGGCATGTCAAGTCAAAACCGATTCTGAATGCAGATGAGTCATTGAAAGAGAGATTTGAGTAAAACATGGTCGTGATGATGAAGCCCTGCATTGACTGAGACAGAGCCCTTTGGCTCATTGTAGCAGGCTGTAATGCCCATATACCCAATGGAACTGCCATAGTTTCACAGGATAAAAAAAAAAAAAAAAGACCTTTTCCTTCAATATCTAAAACACCTCTTCATGCTGACAGCTGGTTTTGAAAGAACAAGATGGATGCATGTGTTATCCAGCGTGTTGCTCCATGAGTAGTCAGAGTAGTAGAAGACAAGGCCCGAACAGTAAAAGAACAAAGAAGAATGGGGACACAACTGTCGACAGGGACGATAATATTTAAACCTCCAGAATTAAATCAGGAGGAGTTTAAACTGGTAGATTACTAAAATGGGAGTGGGATGAGCAGCAAAGATGATAAGTGTCATTTTCTTATGCTCAGCGTTCTGGTTACATCTCTGGATGGGCTAAGTAGCACAGAAATTAAAAATAAAACTCTGAAAATCTGATAAATCAACCCAAACTGTCCCCTTTCCCAAACAGGTGATTCACAAAAAAAATGCTCTCAATACGATGAATAGAACAACACTCGTATACAAATCTGAAAAAAAAAAAGAAAATAGGTCATCTGATCCATTGTTCCAAATGCACACACACACAAACTTGGACACAGGCTGTTACGTGGGTGGCAACTCTGTAACCATCTACTCTCTCTTCCAGTCCTGGTCTCCTGGGATTAAATCTCCTATTTGAAAGGGGGAAATAAACCCACAACACGGACATGATCTTGTAGTGTCATTAATAGAGACAAGCTAATCTGTCTTTAAATCATTATAGCATCTAAAGCTGGACATTTTTGTTTGTTTAATATTTGTAGCAGATTGTATTGTGATTTTTTTCTGTTGTGTTACATGGCAGTGTCTTTGAGTGCTTTCTACTGTGAATAAAGCAGGCAAGGATAAAAGCACACAGATGTCCAATTGCATAATTTGAAATGCTGCTTGTAAACTGAAATTGCATTACCAACCTGTGATGCAAGTTGTTTTACAATTTAAATGTGAAAGAAACAACAAGGCAAAGCAAAACAAAGCAGATTTAGGGTTTATTCTCCCCTTAACTATGAACCACGTGGTCTCCTGCCTTCCTAGTATGAAAACTCAAATCCTGGAAAGGAAGAAATGCTTTTGTTCCTTCCTGTTCTAATTAGGGTGGAACAAAACACAGCACCATAAAGGCTCTGATTTTCCTGTACGCGGGCCTCTGAAGGTTGGGAAATAAAAGTCTATCAGAACAGATCCACACCGTTGTTAAATTACAGGACACATTCATACAGACACACATTGCAGCAATTTCCAAAGAAGTGCATCTGACCTTTGTTCATTTTAATTTCAAGGAAAGATAAAAATAAAAATAACGAGAAGCGGCAGAAGCAACGTTTCTTTGCCATTATTGGTGTGGATTGAAACGTCCGGGTGCATCTACGACATGCTCCGGGCGGGAGATCTTCAAATGTTAGCGAGGTTCGTTGTGCATCGAGTTAGGGCACCTGGGAAGTGCACTGTGTTCTCAGCCGCTTACAGCAGCGTGAGGTTATACAGGTGTATAGAAGTATATCTAAATAAACTGAAAGCGAACAAAAGAATAAAATATAATCTGCTAAGAATACTTGTCTAGTTTCCTTTTTTCTTTAAATCAAGAGATAAACACACACGCACACACAGCATACTCAAACAGCAATCCAGCATATGTAACACTTTGCCTCCCGTCTGGTGCTGAGGGCAGACGAGAAGCGGGGGCCGACGCTGCTCTGCGTGTCGCCTCTTAGCGGGCTGACCGCAGCAGTCGTGGCTGAGAGTTCTGATGGATAGAGTGGCACTTGCAAAGAGGAGAAACAGACGATTATTATAAAGGAGTAAACTGAGACGGCTAGGAAAGTTTGACTGCACCATTGTTGGCAAGAAACATCTTTGAAAAGACAAACTTTTTTCCTTTTTGGGAATTTTGCAGCAGCTGGCAGTGCATTTAGGGAAAACAAGTTCTGATCTGCAAAAATAGGAGGATTAAAAAATAGGCTCGTCACCCACACTCCGTCACGGTTTGAAAAGGAGAGACTTGGGGAAAGACGATGAAGCGAAAGAGGCGGCTGATCCACCAGCCGGGCAAACATTTGAGGTGCTAATGGAGTGATTTGTTTTCGATCAACTGCTCTGCACCAACATGCTTACACCAAACAGAGGAAGGGGTCGGAGGAGGGTGGGCCTCAGTCTGGGTTTAATCAACACACACTCTTCACACTTAGTCCTGCGCTCACATTAAAATAAATGCATGCATATCTTTACAGGCGTTCAGTCCTGGACGGTGATGGAGACAGGATGGGGAAACAAGAACGCACAATGGTATGCACAACTCCAACCAAACATGCGCTCACACAGTCACACAAACGTGTTCTTTTGCTCACAGCGAAAAACCAACCACACCACGTACACATGCACACACACACACAAAAAGCCAATTACCTGCTCCCAACCCCCCACCCCACCCCCAAAACCATGATAAAGTACAAACACTCAGTCATACTATAGCTTTATCCATCCCCCGTCATACTTACAAGGTTAAAAAAGAAACACAAAAATAAACTCAACAATTATTTTCTTCCCAGTCTGTTGTAGCGGCCTGCGTCCTTGTTTCACATGGTGTTGTTTCCTTTAAGTCTTGTCCTGTGTTCTGCAGAGGGAGTTGGTGCGGCGCTGTGTCCCCCTTTGAGTCGGACACACGTCCTCACCTGAGCTGCCTCACAACCCCTGTTCTGAGCGCTGTGGCATTCGAGCTTGAAGGTCAAAAGGTCATGAAGTCCCCCTACTCAAGGTCATCCCAGAGACCGCCCTCACTTGCCCCTTCCTCGTCATAGAAAGTATCAGGGGCCCCTTCACGAAAACATCAGGTGGGATTTCAGTCCGTTTCTGCCTAAACAACAGTTGTTCAGAAGTCAAGGACAAAAAGAGGATGTGTCTGCACGTCTATGCATACCTATGTGCATACTCCTCAGGGTTGTGCACAGATGTGTGTGTGTGTATGTGTGCGTATGAACTGTGTGTGTTTGTGTATATAAAGAGTGAAATGACCAGGGCAGAGCTGAGGCTGTCAAGCTGATCGTGTAGGAGGTGAACAGCACCTGCTGTCCCGTCCCTCCACCCCCGTCCCCTCCTCTTTCCTTTAGCGAAGCCACAGTTTGAGCCGCAGCGCGTCCACTCCATTCAGGTAGTATCTGAACAGCCGCTTGTCTCTGACAAAACCCAAGTTCTCATACAGCTTCAGGGCTGATTTGTTGGTGATCTCAGTCTCCAATACAACCTGGGGAGACACAGAAGAGGTTTGTTTTGCACCTTAACACGAGTTAACTAAGATTTTGCAGGTTTCACTTAAGACTTTTTAGGAATAATGACTGAAATTTAAGACATATGACAAGTCAGACAGATATGAAGGAATATCAGAGTCAGAATGACATCCCTATGGTTTAGAATATAAGGAAATAGCGAGGTAAACTACAGGCAGAGACAGTAGGTATCCATAGTGTTTCCACAAAGCCAAGCTGTGTGTACTGAGAAAGATTCTGACCAGGGTGTTTGTAGACCAGTCATCGGTTCCATTTTGGTCTTGTCTGTGGTTTTATTACAGCGCTGTATTGTCGCATTTATTTAATATTAACATAATAAAGAGCTACTTAAACAGATTAATAACAGAACATGATAAAATGCTTGAGATAGGTGATCCATTACAGTGAACTCCAGTCTAAGATATGGAATTACTTAGGAATGCAGTAACAAGAAGATAAGGTTTAACAGGCTTTCTTTGCCGATGCACTCAGGGAAGGTTGATTATCAGTTAAAAGGCATTTACATGCAAAGCAGTTGGAAAATCAAACTCCTGAAAAACCTGAAATTAATCATCCAACTACAAGTACTTGGGAGCACAAAAGAAGTTATAAACCATGAGCTGAGGATCAATCAATCATTTTCCAATGTGTTGTTATTTTATGCATTTTCAGTATTAGAAATAATTGTTTTCTAGTTTTTCCACACATGACCTGTGGGTAAAATCCAGAGAATTGGCTACAATTGAATTTCACCCGGAGTTTGCCTTTCACACATGCACAACGCAGCAGGAGGTTCTCTAAGCAGATGTGGTTCGATCCCCTGCTCTAGTCTGCATTCCAAAGTGTCCTTGGACAAGATAATGAACCCCAAATTGCCCCTGACGGCTGTGCCAGCAGTGTATGAATGGTGCGTTAAAGAAAAAGTGCTGCGTTTATTAGCACTGTATGAATGTGTGTGTGTGTGTGTGAATGTTAATTGTGCTTTGATCAAAGAGATATATAAATACAGACCATTTCCTATTCAAATATGTATTGAAAAAGTATGGAATGTAAATTGAATGAGCTGTCCTTCAGTCACAATATGTCTTCGTAGATTACCTCGTCACAGTCTCCCTCCACCATGGCATAGATGGCCTTCTTCACCAGATTAGTGCCTGAAACAGAGGAATCTGAGTCATTGACAACATTCACTTCAACAAAACACAGACTTCAGCATGAATAGCACTGGGTTTTTCTGCTCGTCTAACTTGACGTCTGATGTTCTAAGCAAGATCAAGGGTAAACAAAATGGCACTTCAGTTTAAAGCTAAGTGTTAGACATCAGCACACAGTGTATATATTATTTAAATGGAACATTTGCATGAAAAGATTTGGTGGTCAAATAAAGAATGAACGATACTTTCGCACAACTTGTTCTGCATTAGAACAGCGTGACATGAACAAATTCTCTGATCCTAATATAACCTAATAATTATACAACATTAAAATGCTTCTTCATTGGTGCGTCTCTTTTGATATAATCTTTGCAACTCAACTTCAAGTGTTTTCTACTTGACATTGTGCATCTTTGGTCGAGTTTTACCACCAAGTCATGAAACCCTCATTTCATGACTATGTTAATTTGGGGCCATGTCTGAGCAGATGTAAGTTGAAACAGCAGCTGTTATCTGCTTCCATCTTTGTGATTATTTGGCATATGTTGTGCTGCAGGCAAAAGCCTCATGCAACATCTGAGTCGGAACTTTTGTTGCTCTCAACTGCAGACTGTCTCTACTGTTTGTCTTGACTCTTGCGTAGATGGTAAAAAGAAGCTAGTGGTGTTTGACTCTATTGTGAAGCAGTCTGACACATAATTTACAGATTTTCTGGGCTGTGTCAGACGTAGGCCATATTTCGAGTTTGTGCCCAAAAAGAGGGTCCTTGTCCTGTTCAAGTTACCATGTGTTGCTTTCAATTTCTTCAATGTTTGCTGCATTCTGGCTGCATATGTGCCGTGAGAACGAACACAAAGCATTATCCAAATGAGAAAAATTACCAGAATAGATTGTTATTTGCAACATAATGAAACAAACAATAGATGTTTGATATTATGTCATCCATCTTTTGTACTGTATTTCAGTTGTACTCTGTATTATGATCGGACAGACTCACCGATGCTTTTCCTTCTGTGTTTTGAATCCACGGCCAGCATGGCGATGTAGCCACGACGGAACATCTTCTTGTGCATGTCAAGCTTACATACGATGGCTCCGACACACTCCTGCTCCACCATAGCCTGCAAGACAAACACACGAGCACACACACAGCACTTAGGTCTTCTGTAGTGTTCCTCAGTGTACCAACACCAGACTAGTATTGCAATATGCTGGCATTAAACATGGTACAAAGCTCTATTCCATTACTTTAAGAATGCCTTGTTTTAATAACAGCTGTATTTGCTATGAATTACTTTAATGTGAAACGGGTGTGTTTAGCTCTCTGCTTCCCCTCGCTGCAGACAGAGTAGGCGTATCAACCATTCGTAGCTTTAATGCTATCAATAAGATGAGAGGCATGGTTGCTAATACCAAAAACCGAAGCAAGTGAAATGTGGAATTATGTTGATGACAGAGCTGACAGTCAGGACAAGTGCCTCGACACTATGAAGGTCCATATGTAAAAGAAACCTACGCAGAACAAAGGAACCAACTTGGCAAAACAGAGACAGGTCAGAGAATGTGAGGTAACAGAATGACATCATACTCTTGTCCTCAAATATACTGTGAGTCAGTCATGATTGATCCATTTACTCAAAGTCAGTGCTGGTACTGTTACCAAAGCATGTGTGTTTTGTTATTAATTCTTTCTAGAAAGTGCTCTCAGAGATATCACAAATCAAGTATAGGGGATTAGATTACTGAATACCATCCTTTTAAAATGTATGTTTTTAATGTGGTAATTTATTGTTAAAAACATACCAATATCGATGAGAAATAAAATAATATAAAACAATGCAAAACAAATGAAAATACTGAACATTAAATTGACTGAAAGTCTGGAACTTTATGTTGATAAAGCTCAATCAAGGATTATTAACCTGGACATTTAAAGTAGTGCACTAAAGTAAACTGAACACAGATGACTCCTTGACACAGGTCTGTGCTCTAATGAATAGATTTTCTAGTCTTCTTTTTAGTCAAAGTAGATTTTAATGAGGTTCTCTCTTTGCCATGTCTTGTCTTCCATAACTTGTCCTGCTTTTTTGTTTGTTTTTCACTGAGGAACCATTCTGAAAATGCAAATGAGTTACTGTTATCAGGAATAATATTGGTATCATGACAACACTAGTCTCCAGAATGTCTACAGTAAAGTTTGCTGAAAGCAAACGACAATTCCTCTACATTTCCTGTCAATGTGACTGTTCTGCCGGGTCTCTGAGCTGACCTTTGACCTTTATTTCATAGCACTTCCTCTTGTGTCACATGCAGTGTACTAGACAAACTGGAACTAGGAAGTTTATGACCTTGAGGCTCCGATGATAAACAAAGAAAGGGTTGAAGGTGTTTGTAAAAAAGTAGAAAAGCCCTAAGTGAGTGGACACTGCAGGTACAAGAGGAAATGCCTCCTAAAGCAAAACTAAAAAATTGAAACAAGGATTGTAAAACACTGTGGTTACTTTGCTGTACACAGATGACTGGACAGAAGTGATGAACACTGGTATGATTCAGTCAAACTAAAAACCACAAACCTATGACGGATCTGTGGCAGAAATGTGGTTGTCAACACATACTTAGGCTACACAAAGCAATGTGCTGTCACTGAGACTTTAACACGTGTGTTTGAATAAGAGGCGTTTGTTGTATAGGCTAACACACACTGAGAGGTGACAGGTGATGGGAAGCTACGAGCATGTGCTCACACCCAGCTCCTGTAGAGTCATGGAACAGGAGGGGATGGCCCTTGTTTGTGTCTTGGTGAACGAAGTTAGAGAGTGAAAACAGACATGATCTTCAGATTCCAGCGTCACACTCACCAGAAAGCAGAGCTGCGGCCAGTTGTGGATGAAGTACCTGTACGTGTAAATTGAATAAGGCTCAGACAAGTCCTTCGTGATCAATCTCATGATCCACGGCATCTGCAGCTCAGACTCGTAGCGGACGTATCGGATGCCGTGACTCTCCTCCTCCACTCGACCGGGAGAGCTGTTCAGGTCGAGCCGGGCCAGCTCTGCGGCCGGCGGCTGCTGCTGATCCGGGTCAGCGGTGCCCTCATCCCCGCCGGGCCCCGCAGCGTCCGGCGGCTCGTCGCTCGGCGGTCTCGGCGGCTCCGTGTGGTCGAACTCCTCTTTCCCTTCGTCCCCGAGGTGACCGTGGGTCTCCTCGGTTCTTGAGAAACCGGGTATCCCGTTCACGCTATTGTTAACCAGGGGAGAGAGACTGCCGTTTTTGGAGAAGGGGCTGTGGCCTTCGTGTTGGCAATGCTCACTATTGTTTCTAGCGGCCGGAGCCTCCTCACTGCTGCCGCTGCTGCTGCTGTCACAGTTGTCCATGGACGGTCTCGGATTGTCAGGTCGGTTTCCTGGGTGTTGGTGGCTGTTAGCGTCCTCTGAGGGGCTCGCCAAGCCGTTTAATTGCTGCTGCTCTCGGGCTTGCATTTTAAGGTGCAGCGGCGCCGGGCTAGCTCGCGCTAGCATGTTTTTCTGTTTCTTCTTCAACGACCCTCTCACTTCGCTTACCGGCTCTGACGTCTTCCCTGTACCGGCGGGTATACAGCCCTCCCCGTGGCAGGCCGGTTCTCCGTCCTCCCCCGCCGGCTCCACGCTCCCAGCCCCGGGGAAAGGAGGAATTTCAGCCGCGGATGCAGGCAGTGCGTTACTAGGCCCAGTCGGCACTGTGGCCATCCCACCGCATTAAGGTGGAGATTCACGCTTGGAAAACGTCGACCACGATCTCATCCACAGGGCGAAGAGATAAACCAAACATATACACGTCAGTTCGCCGAAAATTGCATAAATCCGAGGGGGTCGGAGGTGACAACGTTTCCGCTGGCGACGGCAGTCGCTGCTTTCTCCTCGGTTCCCCTGCTGCCGCAAAGCGCTGTCGCAGCAAACGCCATTGCAACAGCAGCGCGAGACGTTTTACGACAGTGGTGTAACGCATGACAGATGCGAGGAGTTTAAATTTACTAATTCCTTGAATAACATCGTTGAATTAATAATTTTTAATTTGTATTTTGTATCTGTACTCTTCTCATAACAGGACAGCGTGATCTCTAAATCAAGAGTGGGAACAAAATCAATGGAAATACATGCAACAACGATTTTTACATTGACATGTGACCTTTCACGTTTGTATTTGCTCACATTATTCCTGTATGTGTTTGTTTCTTTTACAATATTTCAGAATTTCATCTCACTGTTATCATTTAATTCTGGCAAAGACAGCTCTGTTGAAAGATGACTTTAAATGCCTACATACTTGGCAGAATTTCAATTCTAATTTTACATAATTTTCAGCTGTATATTGATTTAAAATTTTGCGTTTGTGCTGCTTTAAACTTTACTCTAACTCAAGAGCTGGGAGGTATTTCACCCGCAGAGGGCGCCAGTTTTAGAATGTATGTGGAAAGATGACATGTGTTCATCTTTACTTCAGTTTCTCCAGTAGATGTCGCCAGTAGATCAGTTTCCTTTTTCTGCTCAGTTCACGGCCTCATCCTGCAGAGTAAATGCATGTTTACATTGAATAATATCCAGATCACAGACTCAGCACTACACTCCACTACTTCCCACAGTTACATTATACTTCATATACTATAACACCAATCAGTTCATTTAAATCCTGCTTTGCATTGGGTTAGTAGAGGTGATATGTTGATAATAATTTTCTCCAAAAGAATCAGTTTAGTTGAGATATAAGATAAGGTGCTGTTTCCAACTACAGATGGGTTTTTCTCTACTGATGCTCCCAAAATAAGGAAACAGAGATACGGGGGAAACCTGTACCCTCTGAGTGCTCATCATATCATCTGTGATAAAATAAAAACAAATAAACTAATTGATGGGACTTGATGTGTAAATCAAAAGTTACACTTCATTTCAAAGTTTATCTGCAGGGTTGTGTAGTTCATCCTAAGTGGCAGTGTTGATCTATCACGTCCTCAAACAGCTCCATGCACTCAGAGGTGGATCACATGGTGAACTCATGGTTCACATGGTATACAAGGTCACATAGATAGATGGATAGATAAAAAGATACATAGATAGATATAACTAAGTGAAATGCTGATACCTCCTGTTTTCTCTTTTCTATTCTACCTTCAGCTACAATGAGCACATGTGAATTTCCTATAGACATATATATATATATATATATATATGTATATGTTGTTTATAAATATAGGCCGTGTCACAGCGCAGGAGACGCAGAGAAAGACGGGGGAGAAAGACAGCTCTTTGAAAGCTAAGCCTTGGGGCTGAGAACTCTCTGAAGACCGGGAATCAGACATGCACAATCAGTTCCCCCTCTTCAAATCTCCTTTACAGGCCTATCTACTTGAGCAGCCTTCTCTTAATTACTTTCCTCTATCACTTAGCGAGCCATGCCTGCCTGGGACGAGGAGCAGCAGTGTCTTGCCAGAGACACTTGGCTGGTTTGAACCCATATTCACATATCTTCTTTCGCACAATCCCGTCCTGTACCTTTTCTCTATACCTCCCCCCCCGCCCGCCATCTCATCATCCTTTTATTTTCCCCTCCTCCTTTTCCTTTCATTCGACACTGCTTCTCGTCTCTCTCTTTTCCAAATATCTCCAGGGTGTGGGTTGCGTCATGTGACCTGGTGTGCTTGTGATTACAGCAGTTGGCATCCAAACTCGTTTCTGAGGAACAACCCCAAAAATACCTTGAGAAAAAGAGCGTGTTGAGAAGTACAAGGTCAGTATTGAGAGCACTTGGGACAACCCAGGCTGAGGCTACATTCATATTTTCATTTGAAAAACGCCATTGTCAAAAGAGAACAATCACCGTCCACAAGAGTTTTGGCTCAGTATCAGTTTTGATCCATGTCTATAGTAACAAGCCTGAAAACGCTTATCACATGACCACTCACATGCCCCTGGCCAGTGATAACAGGAATTGTTCTAATTAAAGATCGTCTCTGACATATGCATGCAGTTGTATCATTATAAAATCCAGAATTTAAATTGTATTTGTTTATCCATGTTGCATTCTAAACTGGTAGTTGGGACTAATGTCTACGTCCATGTTTCTCTAGTTTCTTCCCGTCTAGACATAAATGCGGCCCCAGATTTTCAAGCAGTGTTTCCAAACTTCTCCATTAGTGGAGTAGTGTGAACGCCGGGCGTATCCAGATCAGAGTTGATGTGTTTTCAAACAAAAACCTAGTTTGGATGTAGGATGACACTGAAATCCAAATACCCTCCTCATGTGAATCTCTGTCTCAGTGGTTGCAGGCCAAGCTTTGGATCGCTATCCTTTTTTTTTTTTACCCCCTTCTTCTTGCCTGTCACATTAGATTGCTCCCCATCACTCTGCTCACTTCTCTGTGTCCCTCCTCTTCTCCTTCTTTTTTTTTAAAGTCTGGCGTCTGGTCCACTAGAGCTGCATTTAATTAGTTTCTGTTGGGTTAATTAGGGGCTAAAGTTAGGGGGTCGGACCAGAACAAAAGCGGGTCAGGCTGGACGGATGCAGGTGCTCCAGAGTAGTTGCCAGATTCCACCGTTCAGATTAAGACGGCTGCAAATTGTCTGGAGACTGGAGAGGGAGAGGGAGAGCGAGAGAGAGAGAGAGCATCGAATCACAGCAGAGGAGGTTTCCACCACATGGCGGCTCCTTATACCACTGTGCTGGCATCATTGTTCTTATTTGTGTAGAGTCCATTTCTAAACCTGCTGGTTTGGAATGAACTCTTGTCCTGTGTTAAAGCTCCAGAACTACTTCAGAATTATTCCTTGTCATTAGTGAGTCCTCCTCAAACAGTTCTACAATGTACTATCACTTATTATTGTTTGTGTGCTGTGAAATTGAGTAAAGTTAGAAAAATGCATTCATCCTACCTGGCTTATCAACAATGAAGATTTTAAAGTCAATATTTTTATTCAGAATTAGATTCATTACTATTAACGTGTGAGGCTCATTTAGAAATTTGATTCTGTTACTTAACTGTCATGCATGTAGGCTATTTCAGATGGGTGTGTAGACACAATCTTCAGACTCAAGATCACAACTTTTCAAAATAAAAGCAACACAACGAACATCTTTGTTTTTACTTTGTAGTGAAATTGATGAGGAGAAAGTGATTCTATGAATGTGGTTGGCATGATGCACATCTGAACCCGTGAATCTCTGTGTGAGTCTGATATCATGAAATGTTTAGAAATCAAAATCTGAATGTGATTTTGACCCGTGATTTGACCTAGTTGCTGTAGTTTGTCCAAAGACAAAAAAAATTTTTTTTCAGCTCGGCCTGCAGACTGAAGGTACACTTCCCAGTCCCCACAGACTGCAACAGAGAGCTGGTCGCCTGTGTATTCAAATTGCACCAAAGTCACTCAAACACTGCACTTCCCTGGTACATCAACAATACACAAGTGTGAAGTCGATAAGATGAGCAGTTTGCAAGATATAGATTACACATGCCGACAGAATTTTTTTTTGTAGAATCAGTGGGTAGATTATATATGATATGATTTTTCTCATGTTCACCATCCCCTACCATATTGGCACACAGAGCAGATCTTATGCATGGCCTGTGTATGTGCAGTGTTTTTCCCTGCTGCCTCACAAGGTGCTCAGTTGTATGTTCTCATTCATATCGCACCCGCAGCACCCAGTTCCCCCCTTTCTTCATCCACGAGTAGCAGCTATACCCTCTCTCTTTGCTTTGTTGTTTGGCGGAGGACATCAAATGACCACTCTGCACAAGTGAAGCGAACATAAAATGGGCATTTCAAGTCTGTCAAGGGTACCTCAGTTGTTTAAATGCAGTGATCGCGTAAATGAAACGCATGAAAACAGTAGATGTGAGTCGAGTAAAGCTTTGGGCTGCAGCACTTTGATGTATGGCTGTTTACTTATTGTTAATTAGTTTTAAACATATGTAACATAAGTGGCGTCTTTTATAGCTGTATGTAAAATTAAAAAATCAGACAACATCTATTATTAATGTGAAGCTTTGATTTCAGAAAACCAGAAAAGGAGCAGAAAAGACCCAGTTTGACCTTTTCTTCTATCCTGTGGAGATGAAGAGAGATCAGATAAATGGTGAGAGGAGAGGTAGATTAGATGAGAGAAGAGGAGAGGGGGGAAGAGGAGAGGAGAGGAGAGGAGAGGAGAGGAGAGGAGAGGAGAGGAGAGGAGAGGAGAGAGGGGCATCTCTGGCATGGCTGGAGCTCCCTCAGTGCGTGAGGGTCCTGGGGCCCTTTAGACAGGCGCCAGCCCAGCAGGGAGGCAGAGACAATCACGCAGCACCAGATTCAATGCACAGAGGATGGAGGGATGGAGGGAGATGAGGAGAAACGGACGGGAGGTTTGAGGGGGGGAGTGGGTGGCATGGGACAAAGAGCACTGCTGAGAAAGGTGGAGGACGTGACAAGGAGACGAGCGGCGAGGTCCAGGTAGAGATGGAGAGACTCAAAAGAGTTGAAAAGAGACGAATGAGGGGGAGAAAACAACAGGGGAGATCAATGTGAGATGAGGGGATGAGAAATAAAAAGGAAGAAAGAGCGAGCAATGGAGAGATAGCGTATATTCCCTCTGTAACAGTCTTTATCATCGGCCCAGATCGTGGCGTATGAACAGTGATCCAAGTCAACCATCTGCTGAGGCTAGATAAGCCTGGGAGAGCCGGGTATTGAGCTGTCACTCAGGGAGGTGTGCAGGAGAAAAAGAAAGAGAGGAGGGGAGAGAGAGACAGAGGAGAAATAAAGACAGAATGGGAGAGAGGGAGAGAGATCAAGAAGGAGGGAGGGAAGGGAGGAGGGCTACGTGGAAGGTAGGAAAATTCAAAGAAGATTTGTAGAGCATCCGTCTTGTTAGAGAAAGACTTAACGTCAAATAGATGTCCGGCCCTGTCCTGCCTAATCCTACAGCTAATGAGAACAACAATAACACCAGGCTAT